CCACTTCTTCATAATACAATAATGAATGTCTAATGAGGCCAGGTAAGGCTAGGTTAAGGGATGATGATGGTTGTGATAATGACAGTGATCTACTGAAAGTAGCGAGAGATATAGGAGATAAAAAATTGGCTGAGGAGAAAGGAATTATCATTGTTTGTATTGGCTTATAGAGTTTTGGGGCAGAGAGAGAGCACTGCTGCTAGTGAAGAAAATAACATTCACCATTTTCATAGTATTGTGCAGTGTTCTGTGCCTGGTCCTTGACATTAACAAATATTATTAAGCCTTCTGTTGCACTTTTCTGAAATTATGGAGCTTTTTTTTTTGGGGGGCGGGGGAAACCTTTCCTAGAAGGCACAGAGTGACTTAAATGGTTAGAAGAGAAATATTCAAGCTTTGGGGCATCATGTATATTTATCCATTCCCTGCTTCTGCCACTCTTGTTTCTGGACAGTAGGACATATGTGTTGCTTTCACTACCTACCTTCAGCCCCATTCACCTCTCTTGGATCTTACTTGGCTTTGTTTTGTTTTGTTTTGAGACGGAGTCTCGCTTTGTCACCAGGGCTGGAGTGCAGTGGCATGATCTCGGCTCACTGCAAACTCCTCCTCCCAGGTTCAAGTGTCTCCTGCCTCAGCCTCGTGAGTAGCTGGGATTATAGGTGTGTGCCACCACGTCCAGCTAATTTTTGTATTTTTAGTAGAGACAGAGTTTCACCATGTTGGCCATGCTGGTCTCAAACTCCTGACCTCAAATGATCTGCCCACCTCGGCCTCCCAAAGTGCTGGGATTGCAGGCATGAGCCACCATGCCCGGCCTTTATTTGACTTTGTGAACTTCTTCATTAGTGACAGAAATTGCTCAGTATTTCTATTTAACTGGGCAAGCTTAGGTAGGTTGACTCATTATTGATAAAATGTCTGCCAAGCAATTAAATAAAGCAGGGTTATGTGATACTTAAAATGGCTAGTATTAATTGAGTACTTACTATCTACTGTCCCAAGATCTTTGCATGCATCATCTCATTTACTCCTCAGAGCAGTCTATGAGGTAAACATTAGTTTCTGTATTTTAGATGAAGAAAATGGCACTTAGGAAGGTGAAGTAACTTGTCTCATAACACCGTAAGTGGCAGAATTGACTGGCACCCTTGGCTTTTTGACCCAGTAGTCCTCATCCTTGAATATTTTTTACTGTATGGAAAAATGTTTTCTGAGTTCTAGTAACTAATATAGAATAAACAGAATTTTGTCAGTAGTCCTCATCCTTGAATATTTTTTACTGTATGGAAAAATGTTTTCTGAGTTCTAGTAACTAATATAGAATAAACAGAATTTTGTCAGCATACTATGTAATAGTGTCTGTGATTACAGGTTTTACTTGTTTGCTCACATTGGTGCACAATAGTCTTTTTTATTCTTTCCCTAAAAACCATCTCTACTTTAGTGCCAACTAAATATTTTGGAATAAATTGAAGAACTAATTTTTTAAAGACTAAATTATCATCTTTGTCTCAACTAACTTGAAATGCCTCTGCCAACAACTTTACTTTCTATATAGAGTATAACTAACATGTGGTCTGTAGTAGACATGCAGGAAATGCTTATGGAATGGATCCTAACATAGTGCTAAAGATGTCTCTGGTTTAGAATGCTCTCCTAAGCTTTGCAAGGCCCACTGGATATTGCTACAAAGCCTGTCTTTATACCCTGCAAGTGTAGGGTGTGGGAAAGGGAAAATAGTTTATAGGCCAGTAACTACAAGTCAGATGATTTGAAATTACCACAAATTAGATAAAGTTAATTTCTTCTTTTCAACTTTTGAGCAACATAATTGTTATATTCAGATAAACTGCTGGTGTAATTATCCTTTTCTGCCAAACTTCATAATCACAAAAGCCAATTTTAACTTGCTAGTAACCAACTTCTGGTTCCCATCTTCTAGTGCCTTTATGCGATTTTACTAACATAGGCAGGAATTTAAAGCCATTGTCTTCAATCCTGTCTCTGAATCCAGGCATGGTCAGTAGTGATTTGTTTCTAAATCTCAAAGTTCCACAATTAGCTGTTTAAAAATAGAGTTTTGGACCAGTAGCTTTTTGTATTCTGGTTTATTTCTGCCATTTGTAGTAGCATAAATGAAGCTTCCTTGTCTAGGGTTATGTCCTGGGCAGTAAAAACCATGGAGTAGAAAATTGATTTTTTAAAATGATTTTGAATAGTCGTAACTGCTGCTTAATGGAATCATCTTGGGTGAACTTAGAGGTAGTTAGTAATGTGTGCTGCGTGCTGGTTGTCTAGGATTTTCATGATGAAAGACTTAGAGATAGTTCTACTGCCACTCTTGGTTGGTGGTTTACTAGCCTGAGATGCAAGATGGTGTCATAATTCTTATAGGATATCTCAGAGGCAACTGCTCACAGGATCCAGGCAGGTTAATTAAATGACCGATGATGGCTAGACATAAGGTGATAGGGAGCAATGTAGACTTTGGTGAACTGGAGAGCATATATTCCACCTAAGTGTGAAAACTGCTGTTCATTTCCATCTTGTTACTGTCATGGGAGAGTGTGAGCCTGTTACAACACCCAAATTTTTTAAAGGAGCTTGAAACCTGAATCTTAATGCAAAAGTTTTTATTTTTTAAATATTGGTAACTAATACAAATTTTAAAATTATGAGTCAAATACAATGTATCTGTGTACTGAATGCAATCTACAAGCCATCAATTTGTGGACCTCTGGTGTATCCTATGATATAGGGTAGTAGTTTCCCCATGGGTATAATTTGAGGAAGACTAGGATTATATCCTAAGAGATTTCATTCTTTTGTGCTAGAGTCATTCTTCCCCATACTCTTCACACACAGTTTCTTAAATTCCTTATGACTTAGCAAGAGTGAAGTATCAGCTCTTATCTCTATGGGAAGAAAAACTGGGGCCTTGGGTAGGAAGAGTTGAGCACCCAATGTGGAGCCACTAAAAGTTAAGACAGAATGGTAGGCCAAAGCTGCCAAGTTTGGGACTTGTATACCTGTTTGGAAATGTCAAAAGTCCTTGTTAAGTAGAAGCAATTGTACTGATCCTACACATACAGATTTTTCAGAAGTCTTACCAGGATATGTCCTTCATCCTACATAGCAAGTATTAAGAGAGCTGTTACAAATCTAGTTGATACACTAGAGAAAACAGTAATTCTGTTCACAACTTAGCAGCAGAGTCATAAACCGAATAAAGTTTGATTCCTTAGATAAGCAGGTAAAAATGTCATTGTTTACTCTTTAAAGGAGAAAGAACATTGATAAATCAACCCAGCAAAGACCATTCTTTTTGGTTTGCTGCCTGTGTAAAGATGACTACCAATGTTCATTTTACTACCATGAAAACTTAGACCAGAGGGTTGGTGGGTATTAATGTGATCTGTTAAGGGAGACTAGTAACCTGATTTTATTGGATAGAGACATTTTCATAGAAATGCTCAACACTACTGAATACATCAAAAACCATACTTTATTTTATGTATAGCAATACAATTTACATATTAAATAACACTATAATAGAATGATTTGATATAGTTTAAACAGAAGAAAAAGGGAAAATTTTCAGGTTACAAAATCCCTCCCCCTGAACAAATATTAAAAAAAAACAACAAAAAAAACAAAAAAAAAACCACTTTTTCCAAATGGGTCAATGTGACGAATGTATTCAGTGACTAATTATGTCTAATTCCTATTGCACAAATGGTCAATGGAATTAAAAAGAAAACCCAACTTTCACAATCACTGCCTCAAAGAAATAACACATGTTGGATTCTTTTGGAATGTAAAGATGGTTTTTGCTACTTCAATACACAGAAAGTTGAATTCACATATCCACCACAAAAAGGAAAAAAAAAAAAACTATGACGGAGGTGAAACTAGAAAAAAATTAGCTTTATATGAAAATATAAAATTCTATGATTATATACCATAGATACAAAGTTCCCAGAAGATGCTTACCCAAGCAACAAAATATTTACAGTTTTAATGATTTTTAGCTATTTCAAAATGAAGTGAAAGAAACATGAGTCAACATGAAGGCAGAATTCTTTAGAAACAATGGCTGCTTGCTAGTTTCAAATGTCCTAACAAAAAAGGAGTCACTACCCCAAATGTTGGAGAGTTGCGACATTTTATAAAATTGACTGTCTCCTTTTCTGGAGATGTTTATTTCTTAAAACTCAAGATATTTTTCTTGAAATTAATTATCCTCTGTAGAAAATGCTTCCCTTTGCAAATATTTAACAAAAATACTAAAAAGAGTTTAACAGCTAAGACAAAGTAGAGGCCAAATATCATTATTACAATTCCTTCCTATTTGTAGCATGCCTTCTTTCAAGAGATAAGTAAAGCCAGGATTGTGTGTTAAATGGCAACTAAGGGAAAGCGCAAAGGATTAAGTGAAATTACATCTGTTAAAAAAAAAAAAAAGCAGGCATTTTCCCTTCATATAAAAATTCACTGGCACCATTTGAACATAAACTTTAGAACATAGGAGTTGAAAATGCATTTCCAGTATAACCGCTAAATTCTTAAGACAAAACTACATTTTAATTCTTAAATTATGATGAGTTGGGTTTTTTTAAATTTTTGCTTAGAATTAGTAATATGTATCTTTGGTAAATTGGTATCTATATTTTAATTTTAAATACAGTATATATGCATTTAAGAAAAATTCATAACAAGGCAGTTGTGCTGTGTCATTATAAAATAACTATTTACTGATTTCAATATGTCACTCTGGGCTAAAAACTCCAGCAACCAGAACTTGAACACCATAACCCTTCTTTGGCCTCGCTGGACTCTTCTACTTGAATAGACTAAAAACTCTAAAGGCATAAAAATTAGGATGACCAATTAGCTAATCTTATTCTTTTTGAAATTCAGAAATTAACTTTTTTCATAATAAAGAAGATATCTTGGCTATCGCATGTAAGAAAGAGTTCTCCTGATGGCAACATGTCTTTTTTTTGATGTCCAGCACAGCCATTTGGTCTGATCGTTGCAATTTATTTTTATATGATGTGTGCATTTTGCTTACCTAGAGCTAAATTCATATACACAAACAGCTTATTTTATAAAGTAGCACACATTAATTTGCAATAGCTATTTCCTTTCCCCTGAGTGCAAGTGTTAATAACCTTGTTATGTATGTAAGCAATGTGCTTATGTCTCAAAGAAAACCCTGTCTTTGAAACTCTGCCTCTGGAAAGATGCAAGCTATGTTTTTGCCAATAACACATGAATAATAATAGTGAGGATCTTGCAGGGATGTCTGCAAGGACATCCCTGTCTCTTGCAGGGATGAGGACCTGCTAAATATAACTGTCCTCATCGAAGTGTGCGTGGACCACTTTGGCAAGATGGGCAAGTAGGAACTGCTTATAATTCAGTGGGTCAGGATATGGAGACTTTGGTTCAAGCTTGCTGGAGACACACAGATTGCTCACAGGGAACTTCTAAACTCTTTTGTTGTTTCTATCCTATTTACTAGCTGTTTTATTGTGATTCTGAAACCACTGTAAGAGATAGCCACAGAATTGCATTGGAGGGTCTGCCTTTCCATGAATTGAGCCCTCTATAAATAGCACAGGGGGGAATACTTGCTATTTGTCTTTGAACCAATGTTTACTTTTATTAAGAAAAAAATCACTGAGAAAGGGACCACGTACCCTAACTTGAACATTATTTTTGAACATCAAGCCCACTTTGCCATCTACTAAAAAGAGTTAACACATATCAATACTCTATGCAACTAAAATAACCCACTTAATTAAAAAAAAGTCTAGCTCATTGCTTTCCTGATTCTCCTCAGCATCTGGCAGTTGTACTGTTCCTGTGTTCAAGGTTTACTTGAACTTTACAGAGCTTCCTGTGTCACCTCTGGTGGGAACGGAGGGGCTGTAAAGGTGTCTGTCATCTATAGCACATGCAACTTAGCATGCTCTCTTGAACATCTTATCTCAAGACTACCTTATACACTTCTTGAAAAGCAGAGTATTCCATGTTGTTGAATCTGTGTATTGAGAAGATGAGATAAACCCTGGTAAGTTATGTAGTTTACAAAAACTCCATTGACCTAGCCTTTGCATGCAAATTCTTTAACTTGGCCCATAGCTTCTTTCTCCTTAGCAATTCTGGTCCTCCAGCACCATTCTGACAAACTTTATGAAAGCCAACTCAAGATAAATAGAACCTCAGTGCTGATCATCATTAATGTTTAATGCCTACCCAGATGGCATGACAGCAGCCAGCGTGGCCTTTTTGTTGAAGTTAATTGACATAAAAAGTAAACAAAACCCTATTCTTCTTAACAGGCCCAGTTCTGGTGATGATTTCACTTTTGACAGAAGCTGTCCCTCAAAAGCAAACATGCAATAGAAGAAACAGATCTCAGTAAGTAGCTTATTTTTCTAACGAACGCTACTGAAATTTCTTATTAATGCTCCAAATTTTCCCATTATGCACTGCAGGGTGAATATGGCTCCAGAGGCTGCACTAAATAACTTTCTTGAGCTCTAATGATTATTGGTGTCTTTTACTGATGTGTATCTGTTCTTGACACTAAACTATACAAAAGCATACAAAGCCATCTCCCTCTTTTAAAAACTTGAAAATGTGGGTATCATCTTTAATTAAATATTTTAATTCTCTCTCCAAATCAGATTTATCTATGTGTGGGAGTTTAGATAGTCCCAAGACTTTTGCTAATAAAGTATTTCCAATTTAATCTTTAGAAGAATGTATATAATTAAAAGATTTATTATAAAACATTTGGCAAAGAAGAAAAGAATAGTAACTATGTAGGTAGTTTTTATTAGATTGCTGTATGAGTAATAGGGAATTTTTAGAGGGCTAGTTTCAAAATTACACACCTGCAGTAGTTTTCATTCTTCTATCTACTGTGAGGTATGGTATTATAAACTGAGAAGCATTAATGGAGAGTAACTAAAGGGTCTCTGAACTGAGTTGTATATAATATTGCCCTCTTGCTATTGTTAAAGATAGCCCTGATTTTAGGATGTAGCTATTTCAGAGAGTCAAAATGGAAATAACACACATTGTCCACATAGCTACTGTGAAAGCTGTAATACAGAGTTATCCTTTATTTTGACACATTTTAAAAAAACTGTGAATATAACTTTGTAACTAATAAGGGATGGTCACATGAAGCAGTTCTTAAGCCTTCTAACTTCTTAAGGGATCTCTTAACTGGCATAAATGGAACTGTTTCAAGGCCATGACATTAACAGACCTTTTTAGCTCCCAATAGCCTGCTAGTCTGTAAAAGAAAACAATGCTATCCACTCCATTAAAATACAGAAGGCATACAGTATTGAACAGTGCCTAAAAAAAAGGAGAGGAGGACTGAAGAAAAGTACAGCATTGCCTGCTAGTAGAATGCAACTGCTTTAGCAATAATAATAATAATAAAAGCAATATTCACTGTCGTAACAAAGACCTTCACTGTATCGAACTAAAAAAAAGTAGCATGTACGTTGTGATGGAATGTCACATCAGGGTTTGCTGTTGTGTAAGATTATAGGCAGTAACACTGATCATATAGTGCAAACTAGGTAACATTGCGTTTCCATGTGTGAAATGAACACAGGTGCAAATGCTCAGTAGGATACCAGTAAGACATAAAATGGCAAAAAATAAATATCAAAACTTTTATCAGTGTAAAAAAGTAACTGGGTTATTGTATAACCTAGAGTCTGGCAAAAAAGGCCTCAAAAAAGTTCTCAGTCTTCAGAAGTTTACAAATTAAGTGCCCTTTCAGGATTCCAGTCACACTAGGGACTCCATGCTCTCGGCAGGGTCTGATTCATCTGCAATGAGAACAGCACCATTTTTGTCCACTGTCATGGGACCATTTCCATTTTCTTTAGTGCTGACCAAGCTGAGCATTGCTTTATAGACGAACTGGTATTGTTCCTGAAAAACAAGAGGAAGACAGTTTGAGCCAAAGAACAGCTTAGTCATTTCATGTAAGCTAGAAATACCGATTAAAATGGTAATTGTGAAAAACATACTAGAGAAACAGAACTATCATAAATGTTATCTAAGAAACTTTAAAAAAAATCATTTGAGAATCCATTATAGTCAATACCTATACCTTCTTCATGTTCTTTTGATCTCTGTTAGCTTGGAACCAATTCTCAATGTTGATAGTTCATTAAGATAACCAGAGAATACTATCCTCTAAAGCGGGGCTTCTCAACCTGAGCACTACTGACATTTTAAGCCAGATAATTCTATGGTGTTGAGGGCTGTCTTGTGCTCTGTGGTTTGCTTAGCAGCATCTCTGGCCTGTATCCTCTAGATGCCATCCATTTGCAGTTGTGACAAGCAAAAAAATCTCCAGACATGGCCAAATGTCCCCTGGGTGGGGGAAAATCACCCCCAGTTGAGAACAGCTGCTCTAAACTGTGAGTCTGAGTTTCAACTGATGTAGTACAGGTTTTACACATAGGCACACCTACTTACAATGTCTGTGAATACTCCAGGCCTCATAAGATTGATCATTTTTGCAACCTGGAAAACATCCACAGCGTTTTCATTCTCTAGTTGCTGGGACAGGGTGGTAAGGGCACATAACATTCCTGCTGAAACTGCTCCATACCTGGGGGAGAAAAAAAAAGATATGATTTCAGATGTATAAAGGGACCAAATATATTTAAACGAAATTACTGTCATGTATTTTCATAGAAACTAAGTAGACTGTTTTGACGTTTATTCTAAAGACACGAATGAATGAAATGCTGGATGGGGGAGGGATTTGGAAGCTAGCATAAAGGTGAGATTTGTTTATGAAGTGGAATATCCCAAATTGGTTCATTAGACGTTTAGCTTGATATCTAATAGGAAATGAGAGGTTCAAAAGTAGACTTGGGAGAGCTAAAGATGATTTGGTATTGGTGATGAGTTGGGTGGTACAATAGAAAAAACAGTAAAGAGAACCTCTTAACTAGAGGTTATTGGACAAGCAGCCAGTGATGAAGGGCTCTGAATTTTTTTTAAACCATTCCAAATAGTTAAATTGAACTTACAGAATATGAAAAATTAAAAAATGGAAATATATGGCTCCAAACAGACAATTTCTAAAATTAATTTCATATGAAGTAATTATTTTTGGCACTGAAGTGGAACTTTCCTAATGAGAGCACTTTCTATGAAATCCTTGGAAAGATAAATATGGTTCTCTTTGCTTCACAAAAAAGTCTTAGAAAGGTAGTAAATTTCCATTAGGCCAGGTTGGTAACTCCACTTTTCACAGGAATCTGTGATGGAACATAGTTTCCACATTAGTGATGAGAAAACAGATGGATTAAATGAATTGTTCAAGATGCTGTTGCTGGCTGGTGACAGAGATGAGACTGGAGTTCAGATGCCCTGTGCCCATTGTTTTTTGAAAAACTTAAATGTCATTTCTAAATTGTTACATAACATTAAAATATTACATGTTTTACATCTTTAATACAAATAAGACCAAAGTCCCCCTTAGCCACCACCCCCCAACTTTAGAGGTAACCTCTCCAGAGGTAAAAATTATTACACATGTAGATACAGCCTTCCAGATTTAGGTATATCACTACATTTCAGTTCAACTCATTATTTCATCATTATTTCGTCTGCTACATGCATACCAAGTTTACCTTCTAGATGGACATTTAGCTTGTTTGAATTTGTGCACTTTAGCATAGGTACTGAGTAGAAGGGCTGGGTCCCAGGTATGCCCATTTTTAGTTTTAAAGATACTACTGTATTTCTTTCCCAAGTGGTTGTTACCTGTTCATACTATTCCCAGCATGAGAATACTTGCTTCTCCTTATCGTTTTAAACTTGAAACACTTTTGCCAATCTGATGAGTGGAAGACTGTATCTTACTAGGTTTTTAATTTATATTTCCTTGATTACCAGGGAGGCTGAATGTCTTTTTATGAATATTGACCATCTATCTTTTCTCTTCTGAAATTGCCTAATTAATACTTTTCTAGTAAGTTTGCCTCTTTCAAATTGATTTATATAGGAGTTATTTTTACAGTGTCTGTAGTAGTTGTGAGGTTTTTTTTTTCCCCCCAATCTATTTCTCTTAACATTGTTTGTGGTCATTTTGTTATATGGAAGTATAGTTTAGATGTTAATCAAGTTGATAAATCTTTTATTTTTGTCTTTTATTGGAATCTTGTTTGAGAATGCTTTCTCTAACCTTTTTTTTAAAGATACCTTCCTACATGTTCTAATTTTACTTTTTTACATTTAATTGTCTAATTCATCTGAGTCTTATTCTTGCTTTGATGTAAGGAAGGGGTCTGATTATAGTTATTTTTCCATTGGATAACCAGTTGTCCCAGCATTTCTTATTTTACGTTGTGATCTTTTCTCATTGACATCAGCTTCCTTTTTAGCATGTACTACATTCTTCTATATGCAAGCCTATTTCTGAACTCTATTTTGACCTTTTATTCTGTTTGTCTATTTTTTGTACCTCCCCATGTGTATCCCAGTTCCTTAATAAGTCTTGATATCTGATAAAGCAAGTTTCTGTAATAGTCTTGGCTGTCTCTACATTTACTTCATACTGTTTTTAGCGATTCAAACATATAATTTTCATTTTTTACTGGTACACTTATGTCCAAATAACTCTAACCTTCCACCCGACTCCATCCTGTTTCATAGTAATTTTGAAACCAGATTGTTAAGGAACACAAACATTTTTGTTGGGATTTTGATTAGGTTGCACTGAATATATAGATGGATCTGAGGAAATTACCATCTTTTCAATCTTGAGTTTTTCTCTTCATGAACATGATGTCTTCATTTATTCAGGCCTTTTATAGCTTTTAACTAGGTTTTATAGTTTTCTTTATAGTCTTTGCCAATTTCATTTTTGGTAAATTTTTGGGTACTTTAGAGTTTGTTACTCCTATTAATGGCCTCCTTTTGTGACAACATTTTCTGTTTAGTTTCACTTCATACATGGGAAAGTTACTGATTTTCACATGGTGAAATTGTATTCGGTCAAACAGAAGAACCCGGCTTAAGTTTTAATAGTTTGTGGATTCTTTAGGTAGTTGACATCTTTATCTGCCAATAATGCGAATATTCCCTCTGTTCAACTTTTATGCTTCTTCTATCTTCTGCTTTTACTGTGTTGGCTAGCACCTACATAGGCTTACATACTAGCACTGAAAGCAAGTATCATGTATCTTAAATGTTCAAGCTTCTAAGTTTTTAATACTAAAATGTTTGCTAATATGCATCTGGTAAATAACAATTATAAAGGTAAAGAGGATGCTTTCTACTTTTACTCTAAGTGGTTTTTTTTGGAGGAGGGGGGTCATGAATGGGTGTTGTTTTATTGTACGCTTTTCAGTATCTATTGATTTTTTTTTTTAAATGTCTCTAAAAATGTCCTGAATTTACTGATAAACTTTTGGTAATATATCAAAAGCTTAACACCAGCTCTGCATTACTAGGATAAGTTTTTCATGATGTGTAATTAATTCTTTTAATATACTAGGTTTTATTAGACACTTTTTATTGGCATTTTTGCATCGGAGTTCAAATAAGTAAGCTTGGCCTATACATTTCCATTCTGGTGCTAAGCCTTTTTTGTTTAAATCAACGTTGCATTAAATCTTCTGTATGTTACTATTCATATGTAGCCTTGGTCAGGACTTATGGGCCCTAACAAGTGGAAAACTCATTCTCTTATTCAGTTCTTAGTGATCACTAACATGTGTTGTGCTTTATGTGCCATGTTCTCTTATAGGTATTTACATGTACCGACTTAGTCCTCACAGTAACCCTATGGTATGGGTACCAGTATTACCTCCATTTGAGGTTGAATAAATAAGGTACATTTAGGTGAAGTTACTGGCCAAGATCGCATAGTGAGACTAGAGTTTAAAATTGAACTGATACATGTAAATGGCTCAGAACAGAGACTGGCACACACCACATACCATGTGTTCACTAAGTGTTATTTTACTATGCTTATTTCTAGGCTTAAACATTTATTAGTATAGAGTTATAAAATCTTAAATGCTTATTTTCTTTTAAAATATGTATTATTTTTAGCTTTTTATTATAGAAAATGTTAAACAGACACCAAAGCATAATAGTACAGTAACCTTCATGTAGTCATCATTTAGTTATAATGATCAACAGCTCATGGCCATTCTCATTTCATTTCTGTTTCTTCCCCAATATATTTTGAAGCAAATCTCAGGTGTTTTAGTCATAATTTAGTATCAAACTCTAAAAGATAAGCACTTAAAGAAAACATACTATTGCACCTAAGCAAATTAACAACTTTCAAATTTTTTTGTGTGTGTGTGACGAAGTATCGCCCTGTCGCCCAGGCGGAGTGCAATGGCGCGATCTTGGTTCACTGCAACCTCTGCCTCCCCAGGTCCAAACTATTCTCCTGCCTCAGTCTCCCGAGTAGCTAGGATTACTGGTGCCTGCCACCATGTCCAGCTAATTTTTTTTTTTTTTTTTTTTTTTTTTGAGACGGAGTCTAGCTCTGTCCCCCGGGCAGGAGTGCAGTGGCCGGATCTCAGCTCACTGCAAGCTCCGCCTCTCGGGTTCACGCCATTCTCCCGCCTCAGCCTCCCGAGTAGCTGGGACTACAGGCGCCTGCCATCTCGCCCGGCTAGTTTTTTTGTATTTTTTTAGTAGAGACAGGGTTTCACCGGGTTAGCCAGGATGGTCTCGATCTCCTGACCTCGTGATCCGCCCGTCTCGGCCTCCCAAAGTGCTGGGATTACAGGCTTGAGCCACCGCGCCCGGCCCATGTCCAGCTAATTTTTGTACTTTTAGTAGAGATGGGGTTTCACCATGTTGGCCAGGCTGGTCTCAAACTCCTGACCCGGTAATCTGTCCGTCTTGGCCTCCCAAAGTGCTAGGATTATAGATGTGAGTCACCGTGCCTGGCCAACTCTTGAATGTTTTTAATGTAGCTACAGATAAATGGTAGAATTTTTCCTTCATCATATTTCCAAAACTGTATCTCTTATTAGACTATTTATTGCTTAAATTTTACTATCTCCTTCCAGCCCCCATTTTCATTACTATTTGCTTTTAATTCCTTGTACTTTTTGTTGATTTATCTGGTGCTTTTTCTGGCTTGAGCTGAATGCTTGATTTATTTTTAACCTTTGTAATATGTAGAGTTTACACAGGCTTTTTTTTTTTTTTTTTTTTTTTTTAAGTACAGTTTGGCTCCATTTCACCAGGTTTTAAAATGCAGTGCCTTTATCATCATTTAGTCTTCATCATCATTTAGTCTTAAGTACTTTGCAATGTCTATTTTGGTTACATCTTCAATCCATGAATTATTTATAAGCAATCCTAGATGTAAGGATTTCAGTTTCTAGTTATAAGGATTTGAGATCTTATTTCACTGTTGGTTTCTAATATAAGTGGGTTGTAATCAATGAATGTGGCCTTGTATGGTATCTGTTGTGGGGGAATGTATTGAAATTCCATTTATGGCTAATGTATATAAATAAACCATTTGTGTTTGAAGAGACTCTAGGTTTCTCTATATAGTCTCTCTTGAGTGCAAACTTCTCTATATCACTATTAGATCAGGCTTGTTAATTGTGGTATTCAAATCTCTCTGAATGCTACTGATCAAATGTATCCTGGTCACTCACTTTAAGAACTTAATACTTTATTCTGTTTTTGGAAATCCTCAGTTGTTATTTCTTCCTCTTTAACCTGTCTTTTATTGCCCCATGGATAACTTTTTAGACATATGTTAGAACTTCTGTATGTGGCTTCCATATTCTAGTTTTATTTCAGTTCTGCACTCCAGTAGTGTCCCATCTTTTAAGTTTTTAGTTTCATGAATTAATGTATTTTTCTCATTGTTAGGCTTAACTTGTTCCTATTTCATAATAAATATTCTTCATTTCATAAAATCTTCATTTAGATCTCTGAGGATGTATTTTAATACCCTATTAACTCTGATTTATTGTGGTTTTTGGTTTTTGTTCAGCATGTTGTCTTCCCTCAGATTCTAAATTGTACTGAGTTGACATTTTAGCATGGTATTAAAAAATCATTTGTACTGATTTTGTTTGGGAGGGAAATAATTTAACATTTATTTAATCTGTTCTAGTGAAATGGTTACCCTTAAGATCCCCCCTTTTTTCTTAGCTCTTTCAAAGCTATCTGTGGCCAGTCAGATAGAAAAGTCAGGTAACATGTATGTTTGTTACGGAGTATGCATGCCCTCCATGTGAGATTACTCTCACCTTTCCATGGGTTGCCTTTCCTGTATTTAGCCACACTTAAATAAGCAGCAAAATGAAGGAAGTATTTATACAATATGGCTTAAATAGGACAAGAAACTAGCAAGTCAGATCAATCAAATATACAGATACTTTTAAATACCTTCTGCATACCAAACGTAATGACAGAAGAAAGACAAAAAGTAAGGGCCATTCTCTTTCAGAAGTTTAGGAACTAAGTGGGATTAAAGAATGTTCATCGAGTTTCATGGATTTGCATTTAAAACTACAGGGACTTGGTGCAAAAGTGATATAAGTAATCTGTAACCTAGATAAAATGAGAGTAGTATATAAATTCACTGGCTTTGATATTTTGTTTGCCACTTCCTCTAAGGGCTCCATTAAAAGTAATGCTTATTTAACTAGTGACGTTAAGAAAGAAACCTGATTTTTTTTCATCTTTCCCTGCCTTTACTTCAAAGACATTACAAAAGAAATGAAAGTACTTTAAGTTCCTGATGTACAGTGATGTTTTTTAAGTGCTCTGTCTATATTCATTTTAAAACAAACACATTGTGGTTCCCTGTATAGTCAGGATGGTACCTGTGGGCATTTAACCATTTTTCACTATTTCATATATTTACTTATAATTATTGTAGTTTTTAATACTTTGTTTTTAAAATCATAACCAAGATAGAAATCCGGAGTTATAACCCTGACACTGTGAAGACATGGAGCTTCCCTTTGAAATCAGTAGGGCAGAAAGGAAAACAAAAAAATTGAAGCTTGAATAAGTATCAATCTTAGGGAAGAATGACAACACGAAAGCCTTCCATAAGGCTCTCAATAAAAGTGAAAATACTGGAATTAATTATGATTTGTGGGTGTCTTTGCAGCCTTTGCTATAGAAAACAGTCCATCTTAGCAGTCTTCAGACTCTTTGATCTCAGGGCCAAATTAAAATAAAAAATTATTGAGGACCTTCAAGGGGTTTATTTGGGCTGTATATGTCAATATTTACTGTATTAGAAATTAAAACTGAGAAAATGTTAAAATACTATTAGCCCTAAAAGTGATGTTATCACATGTCATGTACCTCTGGGAAACTCTTATATATTGTCCACTCATGACAGAATGGGTGTGAATAAGGCAGATAGTATTTTTATATTATTATGCTATCCAGTAGGGTGATACACGTATCTCCAGAGTGAGTAATTATTTGCACAGGGAACTCTTCTTCAGTCTGTGAGTAAATGGAGTAATTTGGGTGAGGTCTGATCTACAGCTGTCTTATAAGACTATGTGAGAACCATGCTTATGTTCTAAACATCTTCTGTGGGAACACAGGCTGTTTTTAAAATCAGCAGTAATGATGCAGATCAGCCTCTGAGCAGAATAATCTTGAACAGTTGACTATAGAATGCTGAGAATGAAGCCGTCTGCCTTTAAGCTGTGCCTCTCCTCAAATAGAAGCAGTTTACTTTTTGGTTAGGAATTTTCTTAGCTCACTTATCTAGAAATGTCATCCACCTGGGACACACCTGAGACCACCACCACCACCACCACCACCTGCCGCCCGCAAAAGTAGGTGTTAAAAAGATCTCTATGAAGACCAAATAGATGTCACAGTGTTTGCACACTAAAAGTTCAACTCTTTGCCTCACATATCAAATGCGTGCAGGCTTTCTCCCCAAGCCTGTTCACTCCTGCCTTTGACAGAGGTTAAAAACACTTTGAAAAGAAGAATTTAAGCAGCCAAAATGACTTTGAGCAATAAATGAGACAAAAAGGAAGGCTTTCTGGGGACAATTTGTATAGGGGTACATAGGCTTAATAGTTTGTAAGTCATCACAATTTACAACACATACCCATTTCATGCAAATACTTATCTAGCACCCACACTGTCCCAGGCACTGGGTTTCACCCTGTGGAAACTGGGATGAATAAATTACCATTGCTGGCCTCAGCAATGTGAGAGTGACAGTCATGTACACAAATAATTATGGTGTGACATGATAAGAAGGAATGACATTTAGCTGGTATGCATTGGTAAAGATGTCATTTTAATGATTTCACTTAGCACCTCTGGGATGAGTTAGAGAGAGTCTCAGAGAGTGACTTTTGAACTGTGTTGAATGAAAGGGCGCTTGGAGGAAAGAGGATTTGCAGGGGCAAGGTGGTATACAGGAAGTACTTCAGTGGCAGATTGGGATGATAGCTGGAAATGTAAACTTACACCAGATTGTAAAAGAGTTTGAAAAGTCTATTGAAAGAATGGATGGCACCAAGAAGACTTGGTGGTGGCCACTTAGACCTGGAGATGAGGGAGACTCAAAAAGAACTCTGATATGTTTCTGGTCTGTACAACTAAGTTGATTAGGGGCAGGCAGGGAAGATGAGTTTGGTTGTAGCTATGCTGAATTTGAGGTGTTTGTAGGCCATCAGGAAGTGATGTTTAGAGGTACAAAAAGTAGGTAAGACGGAAACTGAAAAGGAACTGGTGTTCAGAGTATTTCACTAGAGCTAGCAAGTGTTTAAAAATTTTAAAGTTTCTCTTCAGTAATTTCAATGGAATTAACTTATTCCCTGCAGAGAGTATATAAATGAATTAATACATTTCTACTGGTGGCTTTTAATGTATCTCACCTATATGGTATTTGCAGATCTACTGGTTTAGGATTAATTTGCTCTTTTTGTATATAGGCCTAAGAATGAGGCCTGTATACATTTGATTAATTCTGGAGGGGATATATATTCAGCATGTGACATAAAAATCACTGAATAAGACAAAATTACTCAAAAGTTGAATATAGATAAGTGAATCAAACACTTCTGTTTAGTATTTAACTGGTGGTTATTTTTCTTTTCCTCTTTCCTTACCCTAAAATATAAGATTAGGTGCATTACTGACTTCAGGACAAAACACCTCGGAGTACTACCATAACAGCAAAATCAGTCATGTAATTGGGCCAGTAACATTAGAATTTGATGACAAGAGATAATAAGAGCTGGTAAAACTCAGGAATTCTAGAAAATGCCCTAACTTTACGCTATAATTGCATACCACAAAATTTTAGTTCAGTAGCAACTCCCCAGTTATTTTGAGGCTGTCTGTGCTATTTAACCACTGTTGATGGTTGTCACATTTCCGGTGATCTTACTTAGTGTGCTATTTAATTAATGTTTCAACTGTAATGCTTTTCAAATCTTAAGTTTTCATCTTACTAATTAAGAGTCAGGCCAACGTTTTGAAAGACTATAACATTTTTTGGAAGTAGCTAGTACACATTACTTCAAGTAGGAGAGTACTGTGATTTGAGGTGAATGAAGGTGCTGAGCCCTTGTGTACTTCATGTTACAGCATTAGTGCAAGGAAAAAAAGCCTTCACAATAAGCTTCACTTTCAAATTTATTAATACTTTATGCTAGTTGGTAATTTAATGAACATAATGGATGCTGCTGACCAAGAGCTACCTTGGAACTAAAATAAAAATGGGAATGTGTAATATTGGCTAAAGGTTTGTGAGATCTGAAATGACCCAATTATATAACCAACTTACAGGCCATGAAGTTTGGCTCCAAATATCCATAAACAATAAGATATATCTATGACCCTTTCCTTCTTATTAAAGTGGAAAGGTGCTGGGCTGGGATACCATTTGGACACTTAGAAGCTCTGAGACCAGGTGCAAGTTATTTTTCTCTTTGAGAATTCATGTTCCTTATCTTTAAATCCCAAGACAGTACTGTAGACTTTAAAACACATCATGAACTTTAAATATTATCATTAATACTACTAGTTTTATCTCTACTCATCAACTAAGTCATATTTTAAAAGGTTATTTCCCTAACAAGTGTTTGAAATTCAGTGTAAAGATTTTAAAAAATTATTTAATTAATGTAAACAGTTATTAATTTACTCATTTGTTACTAACACATAAAACCTCTAAATGCATGCAGGTCTACTTCTGTAGGCTAAGATATAATAGTCTCTCCTTTCTCGACCATATACTCTAGAAGAACCTGGGAGTCTTGGAAGAGTTTGACATATTAAAATGTAAACAGAGCAACAACACTTTGTACATGTCCACATTAGAAATAACATGGAGTTGTCACAAGCTGAGGTGATAGATAGGTTTTAAAATTCTGGCTTCCTTTTCTATTGTTTTCAACAAGAACTTAAACAAAAAAAAACTGTCTACATTTTAAAATTAAGAAACAGATACATACTCATCATGAACAATGGTGGGACCATCCCTTGTTAAGGCCTCTTCCTTGATGACGTTGATAAGTTCAAACGTACTGCTTATGGGGGCATCTGGGTTAGGCCATTTGGGACACTGAAAGTGCCGAACTTCTAAGACATAGTCATCCTGTAACGAATACAACATGAGTCAAATCCCTTCCTTTATTTCACATATCTACAATCTAATGACTAGAACTTGCTCCTGAGAAAGCATGTGTTATAGGTAACTCTCAACAATGTTGTGTTGACCAAACCACAGTTGGAAAGAAGAAAAATGCCAAGAAGATTTGCTTGCTTGCTTTTTTTTTTTTTTTTTTTTTAAAAAAAAAGCATGGCTAGGCATAGTGGTTCATGCCTGTAATTCAGCACTTTGGGAGGCCAAGGTGGCCAGGAGTTCAAGACCCACCTGGGCAACACAGGGAGACCTGTCTCTAAAAAATTAAAATAAAAAAAACCAGTCATGTAGCATGTGCCTTAGTCTTTGCTATTCGGGAGGCTGATGTGAAAGGATCACGTGAGCCCAGGAGTTTGAGCTTTGATGATGCCACTGTGAGTGAGACCCTGTCTCAAGACGAACATCCAAGTAGGTCATGCTAGGGAAACAATTTCATTGGGCTTAGTCAAAAATTTCAAGTGACAATAAATTATTAAAGACCTTATATGCTACTCTATTTTCTTATTTATAACATTAAAGGAAAACAAGGAAGGGGCTCATCCTTTAAATTACTAGTATAAGAGCCCCCCCAACCTTATCCCACAAGAAGGCAGCAAAATATTTACTTAAAAAACTTGGTATTATCATCTCTGCAACACATTGCAAAGCTTACATTTCTGATGGCAAAGAAAATATTGAGCTCTAGTATATTGTTTTTATAATTAGGTCAACAGACCTATTTGTATGCATGCTGAATCGGAGGAACTGTTACATTTCATCTAGCCAGCTGGAAAAAGCAAATATTTGAAGGAAGAAAAAAGGAAAATGTAAATATTTAAAATTAAGTCTTACTTAAATGCCTGAGCCTGGCTTGAGGGTGGTAAATTATTTCATTATTACTTAGAATGATGATCCAGGGCCCAGGCATGGCTATTAGTGAGGAACTGAGGTTTAGGTTACCTGTGTAGCTTCAAGGATAAAGTCATGGATGATAATTTGTTCTTCATTAGAGAGGCACAGTCTGTCTTTGCTGATAAGGGTGACGGTAAAGGCCTCACAGTTCATGGATTCTTCTCGACTTGGCCAGTACACAAACTCATCTTCTGCCTTTGGGAAACAAAAACAAACAAACAAAAAAGCCTCTGCAGTTCTGTCAAGCATTTGTTTTTTATTTCTTGCATACTGATTTTGTCATTTCCCATACCTCTCAAGCTATCTTTTAAACTGAATTCATAGAGTTATATGTTCCCATCTAATTATACCAAGTTGAATGGTTATTCTATTGTAAAATATATTTTGATAATCATTTTCTAGCACCTCTAACCTGTTAGTGTAGCAACCTGAAACACTCCCACTATAGGGAACTTACTACAGTTGAAAAGTATTCTGTAATATTGACATAGTAAAAAAGGAAGCAGGATCTAGGTCAATTAATTTTGTTATTTCACAATTGCTTAAGCAATCAAGACATGCTAATTATTTCCTATGGATTATGTTAATAATTCTGTAGTTGAACTGCATTTTGCAAAGGACTTTCATAAACATTGTAAGTTTTCTTGTATATTTTTAGTATGATGTCGGATACATACAGATAGTAAAAAGGTTACCATAGTTAGGAGCAAATTAACATACCCATCATCTCACTTTCGTTTTTGTGGCAGGAACAGCTAAAATGTACTCAATATTGGCATGATTCCCAAATACAGTGCAGTTTTGTTACCTGTAGTCCTCGTGTTGGACATGAGATCTCTAAACTTGTTCTTCCTCATCTGTTGTTTTGTATCCTCTTGATTTATTTTACATCTTCCCATTTCCTCCCTACCCCACAATTTCTTTATCCATTTATCTGTTGATGGAAACTTAGGTTGTTTCCATAGCTTGGTGATTGCTAATAAGGCTGCAGTGAACAGGGGAGTGCAAATATCTTTACAAGGTGTTGATTTCACTTCCTTTGGGTACATGCCCACAAGGACTGCTGGATCTTATGGTAGTTCTAACTTATTTAGAAACCTCCAGACAGTTTTCCATCATGGCTCTACCAATCTACAATCCCATCAACAGTGTGTGAGAGTTTTCTTTGTTACCCTCACCAGCTTTTGGTATCTTTTGATTTTTTTAAAATAACTATCCTAGTGGGTGTGAGGTATTTTGATTTGCATTTCCCTGAAAGTTAATGAGGTTGAGCACCTTTTCATATACCAGTTGGAACCATCTTTATGTCTTCTTTGGAGAAATGTCTATTCAGGTCTTTTGCCCATTTTTAAATCAGGTATTTCATGATTGAGTTGTATGAGTTCTGTACAAATTTTGTATATTAACCCTGAGGAGATTTTTTATCATCTGTCTTTACAGATGAAGGCACAAGGCTTTGGGGAGAGGGTCCATAAATTATCTAAAATCACACTGCTAATAAATTGCAAGGGATAGAACTTTTTTGGAACATTGTGTGTGAGTAAGTAGGTTGGCTGTATGTACAAGGCAGTTTTAAAAGAAAAGTAAATCTGTCAATGTTATATTTCAAGAGGGGATAACATAGAAAGTCTTTCAGCCTTGAATCAGGCAAGCTTTAAATGTTCATCCATTTTAAGATTAAAAATAGATATGCAGGCTTGGTACTTGAATTCTGTCCCTAAAAACTATGGGTGCCTAAGAGAAAGTTAATTGTTGCATAGGTTGGAGACTGTGAGAAATATGATTATGATGTACACCACGTATCCTAATCAGCTCAAATAGCAAACTGTAGTTTTCCTGTAGTATATAGGTTCCTATGGGGCATTTTCCTGAAGATGCCTACCTACTATCATTGAAGTCAGAAATAATTCTGAATAATGTTCAAAACAAAGAAGGCTTTGTTTAATCTTACATTGTTGCATTAGAAATGAGCCAACAGTCCAATAAGACTTATCACCCTTTCAAGTTTCAATATAGCTTATTGCCAAGTGCATTTTTATTTTTAAAGCTCAGCATAAGGGGAAACAGATTAGCAACTGGGTTTAGTCTATACAAAAGAAGTCTGTAACTGTCGTGAGTTTTAACAGGTTTTGTCCAAGGACACTGATATTAAAGACATAAGGTAATGAACAGGGCATCTAAATGTAACAAATATGCACAGATTAAGCACAGGATTTATTAGTGGATGTGATCCTGGGTAAATTAATATGAACCTTAATTTCCACATCTGGAAAGTGGGAATAAAAACTACTTACCTTAAAGAAATACTATGATGATAACATGAATAGTAAATTAACTAGCTTAAAGGCTACCAAAGGGATTTGAGTTATGGTAGAAGAAAGGTAGAAAAAATGTTTCATCTTGAAAGTCTAAGAAAAATAAATGCTACTTCTTAATTTAGCAGGCACACTGGTCTCATGACTGTTTTGCTTACAACTATATTTATAGGTCAAAGATATCTGGGCATCTTTGTACTTTGTGAGTACTCTGTGAGTTAGAAAGCAGTGACTTTTGGGCTCCTTACAGAATTATGACCTGGTAAAGGTATAGCAGTAATAATACAACAAACAAAAAGAACTCAGAGATATCAGTCTTTAGGAAAAACTGTGTAATGATGAAACTCTCCATCTCAGAACTGAGAGGTCAGTTGTATATGATTCTAATCTAGCCTTCCGAGGCCTCAGAGATACTGAGATGGCATGTTCCTATATCCTCAGTGTCTACAGAACATGTATTCACTTATTTGGTCCAGTCTTCTCCCAGCCTCCCCATACAAATGAGCTGCTGAGTAGATGCTTTATGGTGATTGCCCTCTGTTAAGTGACAATAACAAAATACTGATTCATCCAACAAATGAACGTTTTAACAACCCTAAGTGCCTCCAATTTCCACATGCCAAACAGAATAGACCCTATTGCCAGCTAATTTGAAAATTTACACTCCAGCTTTTAGTTTAAGATTCTCAACTTTGTTGCCATTCCATCATACAGAAGCAGTTTTGGTATCCTGAAGCTGGAGCAAAATGCGACAAAGTGAAGAAGTTCCTACTGACTGGGCACACAGTCAAATGCATGTCACCAAGACTGGGGGTTCAGTCACATGCTGTTCTTCTTTGATTAAAAAACTCATTAATCTGACTATCATAAAGGCAGATCCTCAATGTTTTCCGTTTTTACCTTATGGGTTCACATGTCCACATAGTAACTTTTATAGACCCAGCTAATTCTGAAACTTAAGTATCCACAAGATCAAAGCAGAAACGTTTAAATCTGTTTTAGTTTAAGTCTGTTTTACAAACTTGCTCACCCTTCTGTATAGTTTAGAGACTGAAATAGAGAAGGACTACGGGAGGGGAAAGTGGTAGCAGCTTAGTCTTAAAGACTTTTAAGTTGGAACAAAATAGCCTATCCCTGCAGTAGATCTGACTTGCCTATGGAATGGGAAAAAAAGATACATTATTAGTACTTTTCACACAATATTTTGGGGTAGGATATACAGCAAAATGATTATAAGCATGGTCTCTGGAGACAGATGACTCAGGTTGAAGTCCTGGCTCCAGTTACTTGTGTGTGCTCTTGAGCAAGTTTGTTCCCTCAGTTTTCTCAGCTATTATGTGAGATAATAATAGTATGTATGTCTTAAAATTGTTGAGGATTAAACAAGTTAATACATGTAAACGCAGTTACATACTCAGTACCTGTAAGCTACAATTATTTACTTTTCAAAAGTGACATACAGCAGGTAAGAGGTTAGTGTAGTCATACATTAATGAGGTTACTAAAAACATTTTCAAAACCTTCTACCACACTACCACAGACAGTATAATTGAAGGGTGATATCAATAGCATCAGAGAATCAAGTAATGGGATACTGATAGGGACAGTATTGTGAGACTATGAAAGGAATCTCTATAGACTTCAAGATGAGAATTTAAAAATTTTAAATTCCCTCCCTAGCATATATGGTTACTATAGCCCTATGGCAAAGTATCAGAGTAATTTATGCTTGTAGCCTCATGGGCTCATTAATATATAGCAGATGTGCTTTACTTACCAAGCTCTGGTTGTCTGGCAGCATGACAATGATCTGTGCGTTATGATCCCAAATCATTCGCCAGAAATCTTTCGTAGTATGTGGCAGAGGATGCTGAGTTATAATAAATTCATTGCTCCTATAATAGCCCTTCAGTTGGGAAGACAAAAAAAAAATCAGTGAATATGAATGTTTTATTTTAACTTTGTGGTAGTAAAATATATTCGTGAAATAAGATAGCATTGTTTTGACTACACTAAAATAATTGAGAAAGGCATTCAGTACATTTGGCTAATTTTTAGATGTACTTCTGCTAGCATTGTGCAGACAAATTTCTCTCCATGTGCAGTTCACTTCTAGTTACCCCTGCTGTTTTCACTTAACAGAAATTTCAACATTTATTCAAAGACTAGATGTGTGAAATTAACAATAAAATTAATTCCTGAAGAAGCATTCTGCTTAATTTAAGCATTTTTGTACACCCAAAAAGTTTCCAGATACAGAAATCTCTCTACTTTTCGTATTACACATTGAGAAATTATTTCAAAAATGACATCAGTCACACAGGTGGTATCTGCTCTTTAACACCTTTCAGTTTAATTGACTTTATTTATAATTAACTGTTGATTCTCACCATGATATAAGAAGCATTAATGTAATCTGTTCCTTTCATTCCAGGCAATGGTGCAAGACCCACTCGAGCACGCTCAGCTATCATATGGAAAAAACAAAAACACCACATTTGCCTTATTATACACACAGAACCAACAGCTCTTTCTGAGATTTGCTTGATGAATAACATATCCTCCTGGCTTCCCTTTCTAAGACTTATCTATATTTTTAAACAAGCTAAAGTGTTATCAGCTGAGGCAGAATGTAAAATGAAATTTTGCTGCACATACCCAGAAGGACCCAGGCATTGTAGGAATACAGTTTTACTGTGGGAGAGATTTTTACAGCAGATCAGTAACAGAATACTTTATATGGACATGACATAGGGTCTTAGATAACTTTTGACTCTAATTTGTTATTCCTACAATTATACCAACATATACTCTGCCCTTTTACCAACCCCTTTCTCCATGTCTGCCTACGATGTCTACCCCTTTCTGCCCACGATGGTCTTAGAGGCCTTTTTCATTAGAGATAAATCTCCCCAGTGATCACCCATGTCTACGTCTATGGCACGCAGACAGCGTCCTCTGCTGTGTCCTTATTTATACAAAGGTCACCCCCAGTCAACAGTGCCTTGATCTCAATAGCCACAGTAACTGAATAATGTGGTTCTAGTTGTACAGATTAATCCAGGATTCTAAGTTTTAAAGGAATGTTAATGCCACAGCAATTACAGCTTTATTATTATTTTTTATGTTATAATATTGTAGAAGTGACCCAATTCTTACATTCCAAGGTGAAATGAAGCTGTATTCTATGTCAGATAGATGCAGCAACTTGCTGACACTGATAGCGACCTCTCCCAGTTTCATTAAACTTACCTTATTTGAATAAGCATAACATTTTCCCTTTTGGTAGTACCAGGTAAGAGGCTGGTATAAAGTCATATATTAATGAGGTTACTAAAAGGACATTTTCAAAACCTTCTACCATATAGCCACGTACAGTACAATTGAAGGGTGCTATCACAATAGCATCAGAGTAGTGGCTGTCTCTGTATATAACATACAATCCAGTATAAAAGATCACTAACAAACTGATTTTAAAGGCTTACATGGCACAACTGAAGAGTTTCTGTTCTTTTCTTTGTTACACTCTTTCTGAGCACTAAAACATTCCACATATTTTGCATTACATTGTGTGACCAACTGAAAAAGAAAAAACATTTTAGTCTTCATTCAAAGATACAATTGATAGCATTTGCTTGATGCTTTGGCAAAAATCCCAATCAGATTACTGATAAACAAGACCATTTTTGTGCCACAAAGAACCTTTTAAGACACAGGGTCTTGCTCTCTTGCCCAGGCTGGAGTGCAGTGGCATGATCGTAGCTCACTGTAACTGTGATCCTCCCACCTCAGCTTCCTGAGTAGCTAGGACCACAGGTGCATCAGCACAACCAGCTAATTTTTAAAATTGCTTATAGAATTGGGGTCTTCCTGTGTTGCCCAGGCTGCTCTGGGAGTACAGGTGTAATCTACCATGCCCAGCCCCAGAGAACACTCTTGTGCTTTCCTAGTGGTACTTCTCTCAGTGACCTTGATTGCATCTTTCTTATTTCTACTATCAGGCCCTAAACAGGTGCTGTGTGCAATAGATATTTATAGAACTATGTGGATTCTTCTGTTATATGATGTCACCGCTGCTGTGAATTTTTTTCTGTGATTCCTCACTGGCATAAAAGACCCAAGTGAGTCTACATTAAAAAAGATTGCCTAATGCTATTTATTACGAGCTAATCATGTTTCTTGAAGATAAAGGAGTACTTAACTAGTTCTCAGTGCATTTCTGTTGAACTGAACTAACATTGTTCTGAGGCTGTTATAAGTAACCAGCCCAGTAGTTTGGTTATTATTCCTGTTTATGTAGCTTGGTTGAACTATTTTGTCAATCCTATTTTTTGGGGGGCTGGCATCCATCTTAATGGAGTACATGAGATCAGTGTTCTCCTCCAGATGCTTTAGTAAAACTCATGGTCCCTGGATATAATTTTCATTTTCAAATTTGATTCTTTTCTTCTTCATCTTGAGCTCTAAAATGGTTAGTGCCTGTAAAAGAACCAACTACCTGGTCGCATTTCTTTTTTTTTTTTTTTAAGATGGAGTCTTGCTCTGTCGCCCAGGCTGGAGTGCAGTATCGTGATCTTAGCTCACTGCAAGCTCCGCCTACCAGGTTCACGCCATTCTCCTGCCTCAGCCTCCCAAGTAGCTGGGACTACAGACGCCCGCCACCACGCCCAGCTAATTTTTTATATTTTTAGTAGAGATGGGGTTTCACCATGTTAGCCAGGATGGTCTCAATCTCCTGACCTCGTGATCCGCCCACCTCGGCCTCCCAAAGTGCTGGGATTACAGGTGTGAGCCACCATGCCCAGCCGCATTTCTTAAATGAAGTTTTAAAGTATGTATAAAAAAAAATTGAAGAAATGAAAAAGGCAGAATGTAAGAAATGTTGGTACTTAATATTTTGTAAGAATTCATGTTAAACATTTACAATGATACACTGTGTCCTCATTATTAATTACCTCATGGTTTTATAGTAGTTAGAATGTTAATCGGGAGCTAAAAATTTTAAATTACTTTTATGATTGAACTCAGTGAAATTAAACTATTTTTCATTTCATATCACTTGGTATAATTTGCTTGGCAGTCTCATTTCTTCAGCTGAGATTCAGATGAAAGTTTCAGAGTCTATGGAAAGTTTTACCACGAAAACTAAAACTGTAGATTCATCTCATTCTTTGAATCTTGATACAAAGGGAGAAACTATTTACATACAGAACAATGTGCAAAACAGAATTTAAAAGACAAATAGGAAAGCACTTGGTGACTGGAGAGGCAATGTTTCAAAGTTAGAAGCAACTTTGATTTGTTATCAGATGACTGAGCCTTAATTATTTTAATAGTCCTTATAATCTCTCTTTTTCACCTTCACTTCAGTCAATTCCATATAAACCTTAACAGCTTTTAAGCTTCTTCATGTCCCTATCAAAGAAAAAGAACAACCATTTAGGAAAAGTTAACTTTTCTCTAGTATTGTTTAGTAATTCTTTTGAAATTTCTAAATTATCTTCTGAAATAGTTTTTGAAATAGGCATATTTTTAGGACAATATGTCTACAAGTAATCATTCTTAATAATTAAGGTAAGATAGATCAGAAAAAATACAGAGGATATTTTTTGGACTAAATGAGTGACTCTAAAGTACTATGTCATTATGGCCAGGGGCTGATGTTTATGTTCAGATAAAGTAATAAATTGCTCAGAAGAAAATACAACACTGTATATCTACTTGAACACCAACAATTCATACATGGTCAAAATCGTATTTTCTTTTGCATCACATTTAAGGAGTACAAGGAGTACAAACAGTAATCCATTTCAGTGTATAGATTAATGCAAAGAAGACATAACTCCCAAATTCAAGGCATTTAAAATATTTCCTTGCTTTATGCCAAAGAAACTTATTCAAAGCACTACCTTGAATTGCTTTTCCAGTCGTGTCTTTCCTCCTACTCCTGGTATAAGGATGCTGTTAACATAGCTGTGCAGCTGATTTGAAGATACTTCAGTCTCCTTTCCAAGAATGGCTTCCAACAAGGCATCATGGATGAAAATGTACTGCTCCTAAGAGGTACAATACATGGTAGTCACTGAGGGAGAGTTAAGGTTTAGCCAGTCATTCATGAAGTGTACCTTTGTTTAATTCTGCCCCTAACAGGGACCTCCCAGTGAATTCCTTCAAGCACTTAGAGCTAGGTGATTTGCTCCAATACTCACTGTATCAATCCAAACTTACTTTACAGTAGAGACTGTGTTAAGTTTAGCTCCGTATTCTATAAGTGTGCCTGGATCACGGTATTCTATACTGTGCTTATTGCTTCTACTCAATAAGCAATCAAGAAATTGTGTTCAATGAATGGTTTTAGAACCATCCTCTCCTATGTATTTCTCAGGCCAGACAACATGTTTAACTTCCCCTACCATCTAACACAGCTCTTGAAACAACTGTACCTGTTTTATAAGTACTTGTGTAGTTATTTAGGAATCCCAATGTTAAGATCCATACAGAAATAGAAAACTATGATCCATAGAATAGTATCATGGTCCGAATGTCTTCTAATACAAACCTGTAAATTACTGCAAGCCCTAAAAGAATGAATCTGTCTCTTCACTATCATTTAACAAATTTCAGTTACAGCATTTGCCAGAATCTCATGAGGACGTTGGCAGCTACTCCTTACCTCAGTCTGGACGAGGTAGTTACGCTGTGTCCTGATATGCTTCAGGAATCCCAGGACATTAACTGTGCTTTTGTCTTTTATCTGTTGCAGCATGCTGTCTATTACAATATAGGTGCCTGTTCTGCCCACACCAGCGCTGTAAGAAATGAAGACACTCAACTGGCACTTTTGTTTTATCATACTGTTAATTTTGGATTCGAAAAATTACCACCTAAACCCCATTTATTTTATTATTTTTTTGAGACAGAGTCTCACTCTGTTGCCCAGGCTGGAGTGCAGTGGTGCAATCTCGGTTCACTGCAACTTCTGCCTCCCAGTTCAAGCAATTCTTGAGCCTCGGCCTCCCGAGTAGCTGGGATTACAGATGTGTACCACTACACCTGACTAATTTTTTATCTTTAGTAGAGGTTTCACCATGTTGGCCAGGCTGGTATCGAACGCCTAACCTCAGGTGATCCGCCCACTTTGGCCTCCCAAACTGCTGGGATTACAGGTGTGAGCCACCATGCCCAGCCTAAACCCCACTTAGATAACCTAGTATAGTTGACATGTTATTCACTTAGCATTGCAACGTAAATCACGGAACAAGCGACATCTATTTGAGTACCAAAGTTTAAAACAAACAAACAAAAAAGAGGCAAGAATGCATTTGCAAATGAAATAGAATAAAAGTATTTTTAAACAACCAACTAAAGTCATTTAGTGTAGCTGACAGAAAACAAGCTTTATACAAGGATTTCCCAGTGCTTTTGAAAAGGTATTTTATATGGAACATATAAACTAAAAATTTAAAAATGAAATATTTTCATATATACTATAAATATTGTTACTTAGAAGAACCTTTCGGAAAAGCCATTTACAAAAACACAATGTCTATTGTAGTGTGGAAAATTCTTGTGCTTAAGGTAATTATTTTTATTTATTAGGATCAGGCTATACTTTTCCTATAAACAATGGGGATTTTGTTTTTTTTTTTTTTTTTTTTTGGGTCAGGGTCTTGCTCTATCACCCAGGCTGGAGTGCAGTTACATGAACACAGCTCACTGCAGCCTTGACCTACTGGGCTCAAGGGATCCTTCTATCTCAGCCTCCCATGTAGCTGGGACCACAGGCGTGTGCCACCATGCTGGCTAATTTTTTTATTTTTATTTTTTGTAAAAATGGGGTCTCACTTTGTTGCCCAGGCTGGTCTCAAATTCCTGGGCTCAAGCGATCCTCCCACCTCAGCCTCCCAAAGTGCTGGAATTACAGGTGTTGGCCTCCACGCCTGGCTGATATTATTAATAAGATGATTTTATAAAAACTAGAGATTGATCTAGTTTTTACAGCAGATGATTTCTTAATGTTACAGGAATACAGCCTCTTTAAGACTATAGCAGGTCTTATCCATCCCAGTTTCCAGTGGAAGATTCAGCTTCTAAGTGAAAACAGTAGCAGTCATTGTGGTCCAAGGTCACTGAGGCCTAAGTCCCCTGCCCCATCTGTTTCACATGTTGAATCCCAGGCCCTACCTGCAGTGCACCAACACAGGGCCCATTTCTGGCATCCGAGCTGCTGAGGATCTCCTCACGAAAGTCAGTACTGGAAGGGCATACTCGGGAACTCCCATGTCAGGCCACTGCGTATAGTGATACTGGATCACTATCCTTTCATTCTGACGACCCTTGGGATTTCCCTTCTGACCCTATGAGAAAAGTGAAAAAAGATGTCTTTAAGGTGAGGGGTGGACATTCTGGAAAAAAATAATGTAAGGGTGTCAGGATACATGACCACTGATCACATTCACCCTAATCACTGTTCCCAGGCTAGTTTATTCCCTCTTGTAGCCAACTTTCATGCCATTAAATGGAGACTTTACCAAGCTGGATATGAAGTGTCACTATCACTTAGAAGACTGTTTAAGATTGTACTAAGAATGAATATTTAGTATTTAGTATCAGGTTTTTTTGCATTTAGAACTATCCAAAGCACTTTTAATTTTCCTGCAAGGCCTCCATTTCCTGATTTTCTGCCCCCAAGTTCAGATCTTAGTACTTTGCTTTCATGTCTCTGTGGGCTATGATTTTGATTCCTTCTCCACTGTCCAGGCTGGACCTTTAGGAGCCAGAGTGCTGATTGCTGCTGTAAACTATCCAGGAAGCGATGGGAAGATTTTAAGTGTCAAATACTTCTGTCTTTAGAGTCAGAGGCAATGTCTCATTTATGTGACACTTTCATAAATGACTTTTTCAGAGTAGTTTTCCTTTGTCTGAACTTTTTACATTTTAACTACTTTAGATGAAATATTTCCCCAAATAGATTACTTGCTATGATATGATTTATTATCAATACCTCTATAATTTCTAAATTTTGGATGACTCAGGGTCATTAATCAACATTGAAGTTTGAAGGGTGTCTGGTCCTGTGCTGTTGTACAAAGGCCCATGATGGCTTTAATTTAATTCTTCTGTTAACTCTCATTTTTCTACTTTTTCCTGTTAGTTTGTAAAACACCTAAAGTTCCTATTTGACTTCTTCCTCTGACTTAAGCTGTTTCTAAAACAAGAGTAAGAGGGCCCTGTTTAAATACCTGAAATATTCCCATCAGTTGGGCTTTATAAGTTTTATGCTGTTATTGATTATCTTGAGCCAGCCAGCAGCTCTATTTCATAATAGAGAATACAGATGTATTGCTGTGCTACTGATATTCATGTTATTTCTGCCATTTTGGGAAATAAACATACATAGAAAGGACTGTTAACCTGGGATAACAGATGGGCTTTGGAGCCACTGAAATTTTATATAAAAATGTGAGTAAGTGTGAATATAAATGGGGCAAGGAGGCTACAGTTTTATCACATTTTCCAAAATGTCCAAGACGCCAAGAAAAAAAAAATTATCCCATTGCTTCAAACAACTGCCATACCTACGTTCTGAGGAATAACTACATTTTTAATGAACATCTATTTATAGTTCTTAATACAGTAGTTCCTCCTTAGATGCAGTTTCACATTCCTGAGGTCAGTCACAGTCCAAAAATATTACAGTATTTTAAGAGAAACAGTATATATTCATATAACTTTTATTACAGAATATTATTATTGTTATATTTCAGTATTGTTAATCTCTTGCTATGCCTAATTTATAAATTAAATTTTACCATAGATATGTATGTATAGGAAAATACATTGTATAAATAGGCTTCAGTACTACCTGAGGTTTCAAGCATCCACTGGGGGGTCTTGAAACATACCTTCCACAATTAAGGGGGATTGCTGTACTGCTGTGATGATCGATCTAGGATATTTATTGTGACAGTGGATTTTGAAAAAGAAACAGATAACCTGAAAACAGTATTTCCACAAAATGTGATTCTCAGGGTATTAGTAATTCTATAGAAAAGGGTATTATTGTTAACACCAGTGCTCTGGTCACTTATGTTCACTGTAAATTTCTAAAATGGTGGGGAGATATATATTATGTAGCATTCATTTCCCATTCTTGAGCAGCAGAATCTGCTGTTTACAAGAATCTTACAGGACAAGTATTCCTTGGAACACACTTTGGGAAACAATGCTTTATATCTGTCAGAAAATTGGAATAAAAAAGCTAAATCAAACAGATGCTGCCATATATGCTGAGTATTACCAAAACCTAAGAGGATGATTTTTTTTTTAAAATGAAGGCTGTTCATGTAGAGATTAAAGAGCTCAATCAGGCCAGTTAAATTCTATTATATGCTTTGCCAATACCTTTCACACCATACACTGATGTCAATCAAAAGAGTTATGAAAAAATGTTTTAAAAATACTTTTTAGAAACAAAGTTGGTTATGAGATTTGGCCTTGGTTGTACAGTAATTTTCATACAAGCATAAAAAGGAGATGTCCTGGCAGCCTACCCAATTCATTCCATACCTTTTTCACTTTTGTATTTCTGACTGAAAAACGACGAACAGTGTAGCAGGCATGTACTTTTGTGCTCTTCAGCGTGACAATAATGTTTCCATACTCCTCACTATTCTCTGTTGGCCAATACTGATCACATTTTCGCTGCAGAAAGAAAAAAGGTGTAAAGTATAACTGCAATCTATGTCACAATTCTGTTGATAATGTAATTTCAAACGACAATGTTAAAACACAGGTGAGATTGCCATTTGACTGAAAAAGGAATACATGAGTTGAACTGCTTAAAGGCAGGTGTGACCTCTGACAAGGCTGATGGCTTGGGATAAGTTTGTGTAAGACCATGTGAGAAATGGGCGTAGTATTTATGATCACCTTTCAATATATAATGCATTTTTAAAAGGGACCAAGAAAGAAACCTCTATGTCTGACCTGTAAGAAATGTGGGTAGGGTTTGTTATAAAGGGAGCTTAAGTATCATTTGGAAGGCTGGGTTGGATTCATGGAAGGTTCTCTTCTAACTGTGAGACTCTTCTAGTTGTAACTTGGATCACCAAAAATAAAACAGGGACTCTACAATATGAAGCAGTGGTGATTTTGAGCAGGGAACCTGAAGCGTAGCTTCTTTTACTTATTTATTTTTTTGTTTTTAATTTTTAATTTTTAGTTTTGGGGTACATGTGCAAGATTTGCAGGTTTGTTACATAGGTAATCGTGTGCCATAGTGGTTGGCTGCACCTGTCAACCCAGTGTGGTGATTCCTTGAAGTGTAGCTTTTATTCCAGCCTAAATTAGCATCATCTAATGTAAACTCATAATCCAATAAATTCTACAGCATTAATCATTTTTTAAAAAGGTCCTCTTAATGATGGTCAAACTGTTTAGGCAATTTTTGCTTCTGCCAATCTTAACTATTAGTAGTTCCTTGTTTACACCATGCTTCTTTCAACTTCCCTGTTTACTGTTCTGTCTGTCCCCTGTACTTAGAAGATCCTTTCCTTCTCTTTTTAGCCCGTGTAATTCCTCCTAATCATTGTTCAAGTATTAGCTCCTTTAAAAAATCTCTGTACAGAGGAATATACAGAGGATACATTGATTCATTTTGTAGCATTCCACTCATCTCTATCATCACATTTACTCTTATAATGCCTTAAGCTCTCTTTCCTACTGAATCATAAGCAAGGTAGAGCAGAAAGAACACTTTTAATTTCCGTAGCTCTTTATACCTTGTCAAGTTCCTACCCTAAAGCAAGTATTCCACAAGTATTGTTTGAATGAAGGTGCATTATTAAGGTAGTGAGTCAAGAGGCTCTTACTCTTCCTTTTTCCACAAGGTTTGTAATCATCACAATGATTCCAGTGTTTTGTTCCCAAATCATCCTCCAGAAATCTTCAAATGTAGACTTCAAAGGTCCTTGGGTGGCAATGTAGGCTTTTGCTTTGTTGTAACCCTTCAAAATGACACAGCACAAAGTAAGATGAAAGCTATTATCACAGAAGACCAGTAAATAATTCAAATGCTTTCCATATTGAATGGGCTTTGTTTTTAGTGAAAGCTCTGTACAGTATTAAAATACATTAAACAGTTTCTGCTGCAGTCTTCAATTTCCAGAAACAGGTTTATAATAACAGTTCTGACTTACATCAACATAGTTTGCATTAATGTAGTCGCTGTGCTTAGAGTCTTTTCCTGGTAAAGGTCTTAACTTCACCCTACTGTGATCATCTATAGAAGATAAGAAAAAAAAGCAGAAATAAAATGTGTAATTCACAGACTAGCACCATTCTCAAGCACAACACAAGGCAATCAGGTAACATGACATCTCCCAAGGTAGTCTGAGAAAACTTTTGGCAGAACAACTAAATAGAGCAAACCCATCCCAAAATATAGAGCCACTCCTACATCTCCTGCTCTTAGGATGCAAACTCATGTAAAACCATTTCAAATTGTAGTCCTCCAAAATTTCCTTATTCTATATTTTAAAGCCAAGTTCAAAGGTATTTGCTTGTTCTGTATTTTAAAGCCAAGTTCAAAGGGCTTTGATTATGCCCTATGCCCGTGTTCCCTCCCCATTAATACAAATATAAAAGGGTGACTGATCTATCAAGTCCAAAACATGTAGTAATAGTTTCAGGCAATTCCATTGCTAATTCACTTGGATTCCCTGCTACCCTAACAGAACCTAAGTAATTGAGGAAACCAGAGCTTTTGTTAAGAGTAATCTCATTATAGGAATCTGAAGTTAATGTTCAGATTTTAGGATCCACTCAACCTCAGTTAATGAACAAAAGTTGGTAGGGAGGTGATGCATGATATGTGTATCTAGTTGCCCAACAGAGTGAGCTTGCTTTTTTTAGGATAGCAAAATAAGTAGAAGGAAGCTGAGGTCATAATTTTCCCTAGGTAGAAACAGAATGGGCAAAACCCAATTTATGTTTCTGTTTATAGTCATTATCATAAAAGTCTAGTTGAAAAAGAAGTCCAATGAGTGGATCAGCATAGGCATTACTGACCTCAGAATATATCAAGCAATTTTTGAGAGCACTCTGTTTTTGGAACTGTGAACTGCTTTTGTTGTTCTGACAAACTTTCAGTTTAGAGTTGACATGAAACAGGTGTTGCTTGATATAAACAGGCCCCAAAGGAAAAATTTCTTCTAAGGCATCTGGATGAAACTGTTATGCCTTAGTAGCCATTAACTGTATATTGTTATTTCTTAGACTGACAAATAAGACATTAATAGATCAATTTGGGAGGTGATTTGGTGACACCCACATATACCTTGAAAGTTGTGATGAATCTGAGAGAAGGTTTTTCATACATCATGTGTCTGGCTCATTCACAGTCTGATTTTACTTGTTTCTATTATATTTCTATGCTATTCTTAGCTATATAAAGGCATTAATATAGGGGTAGATAAAGGCAGGCAATGTGCCCAGAATCTGAGTGGCCAAGAGAACACCAAAACCTAACTCCCTGAATGTTTAAAAATAAAATTACATCTAATTTGAAATTGTGAAAGTAAAATCACAAATGAAGTTGTGGAAGTGCAGTTCACATTTAACCAGAGATGATGGTTTTCTAGCAAAACACCATGACCTTTGGGCACATCACACATTAGTTGCTTTGATTTTCTCCTCCTTTTCTGCCACAATACTTTTACCAAGGCAGTAAGTAATGTTTGCCATTCGAAGTAAAGAATACTGTGGTGGAGATAATGGTGTGTGTGTATGTATGTATAAGGCACAGATGTGTATATATCCTTGCCTGATTTCTCTGGTTAGAAAGGAGGTATATCTGGATAGACAAATCCTCATAGTCACAGCAGTGGTGAGCCTTGATTGAGTGAGTTGGCCAACAAATACTGCCAAAGTCAATCCAACGACTGGGAAGAGGTTTGACTTTCTTCCTTGTTCGCCCCTGCCTTTTTAAACCAGTTCATTTTTTCAGAAAAGTAGAACAAACAATCCTATTCAAAAGTAAGCTGGAGTTTTTGTAACATTTTATTTAGAAGTAAAACTATCTTTGTTTATAGAGGACATCGTGTATATAGAAATTCAAGGAATCAACCAAAAATAACTACTAGAAACGATGGATTCAGCAAGGTTGTAGGATACAACCTACAATTGTATTTATATACACTAGCAATGAGCAATCCAAAAATAAAACTAAGTAAACAATTTCATTTACATTAGCATCAAATGGAATAAAATACTTAGGAATAAATTTAACAAAAGCAGCACAATAGTACAATTCAGAAACAACTGTGGAAAGAATAGCCAAAACAATCTTGAAAAAGAGGAACAAATTTAGATAACTCACATTAAGAAAGTGAAAAGACAATGCGCAGAATGAGAAAATAGTTGCAAACTATATATTCAATAAATGATCTGTATCCAGAATATGTAAAGAAGTCTTACAACTCAACGAAAGACAAAAGTAAGCCAGTTAAAAAATGGTACAGGATCTGATTAGACATTTCTCCAAACAAGTTATACAAATGACCAATAAGCATGAAAAGATGCTCAACATCACTAATAACTGGGGAGATGCAAATCAAAACTATAATAGGATACCACTTCATACCCGTTTGGAAGGCTGTTATTCTTTTTTTTTAAATAGTAAAAGTTGGTGAGGATGTGGAAACATTGGACCCTTTATATATTGTTGGTGGGAATGTAAAATGAATAGCCACTTTGGAAAAGAGTTTGATAGTTCCTCAAAATTTTAAACATAGAATTATCATATAATCTAGCAATTGTACTCCTAGGTATACACAAAAAAGAACTGAAAATATCTGTCTACATAAAGACTTGTACATGAATGTTCATAGCAGTATCATTCATACTAGCTGAGAAGTAGAAAATAAATGTCCATCAAATGATGAACAGACAAAATCCTGTATATCCACACGTTAGAGTATTATTCAGCCATAAAAGGGAATGAAGTACTGATATATGGTACAACATGGATGAATGTTGAAATCATTATGCTAAGTTACAGAAGCCAGACACAAAAGGTCACTTATAGTATGAATCTATTTATATGAAATGTCCAGAATATGCAAAACCACAGAGACAGAAAGTAGATATAGGGTTTTTAAGTGCTGGAGAGAAGGAAAAATTGGGAGTGCCTGCTAACAGGTTTCTTGCTGAGGTGCAAAAAATGTTCTAAAATTAGATTGTGATGATCATACAACTCTGTGAATGAATATACTAAAACCTCACTGAGTTGTATTCTTTAGGTAATTTTTTTTCTTTTTTTCGAGACAAGGTCTTGCTCTGTTCCCCAGGCTGGAGTGCAGTGGCACAATCTTGGCTCACAGCAACCTCTACCTCCTGGGTTCAAGTGATTCTTGTGTTCTTGTGCCTCTCCAGTAGCTAGGACTACAGGCGCATGCCACCACACCGCATTAACTTTAGTATTTTTTTTTTTTCCAGACAGAGTCTCGCTCTGTCGCCCAGGCTGGAGTGCAGTGGCACGATCTCGGCTCACTGCAAGCTCCGCCTCCTGGGTTCATGTCATTCTCCTGCCTCAGCCTCCCAAGTAGCTGGGACTACAGGCGCCCACCATCACACCTGGCTAATTTTTTGTATTTTTAGTAGAGACAGGGTTTCACCGTGTTAGCCAGGATGGTCTCGATCTCTTGACCTCGTGATCCGCCCGCCTCAGCCTCCCAAAGTGCTGGGATTACAGGCGTGAGCCACCGTGCCCGGCCAACTTTAGTATTTTTTGTAGACAGGGTTTTGCCATGTTGGCCAGGCTGGTCTTGCACTCGTGGCCTCAAGTGGTCCACCTGCCTCGGCCTCCGAAAGTGATGGGATTAAACAGGCGCGAGCCACTGTGCCCGGCCTTAAATGGGTAAATTTCATATGGTATGTGAATTATGTTTCACTAAAACTTTAAGAAAACATTATACAGTAGTGTTCAAGTTTTAAATGGTCCAATTGAAATGCACTATTATATACAATTCTATGCAATGTAGTCCTTACCATAATATATGTTAACTATAAATATCTATGCCCCTACCCTTAGTATCAAAGCATATATTATATGCCAGTGAGCCAAGCCCCACATGTGGTCTTCTAGCCATAGAAGTAGCTTGTGCTCCTAGGGTATTCCTTGAGGCTCTGTATGAAGAATGTCCATTTGTTTGAGTCCCTAAACTACAGAATATTCCTGACCATGGAAATGTGATAGATAGGGGTAAGCACATGGACCAAAAGGCCTGGAGGCTCATCATTTAAGGTACAAACCAATTATGTAGTTTTTGAAGGAATGCTTTGAAATTCAGCTTGCTTGATTCAATTCCCAGTATTTTCATTCATATTAATATATTTGGCCCCTTACTATCACACTGGTCTTTTAAGGGGGGGGGGGGGCAGGGAATTAGGCCCTTACAGACAATGTCAGTATAACCAAGTGACATTCAAATTTTGGCTCTCAACATCTTATATGACATCACTTCATGTGAAAATAGTGAAGCTCCAAACATTTTCTTTCAGTCACCTTATTAAGCTCTCTGAGCTCTGACAGCCTAATGAAAGGCTAAGGGGGAAGAAAATGTCCCTACTTCTACACTGTTGAAGATGGGCTAATGAGAGGTTAGCTTGCAAGTATCATTCTTTCTTGGCATCCTGCTTCTGATTGCTTGGCTTTCAGCTTATACCCAGCATGAAAATTTAATTTCCTCGCAGTTGAAGATAGTTTAAAGTTTATTACTCACATGCTAAAATGTTGATGTATCTGTTTTTGTGCTTGTTTTCTGGATGATTGGAATGTTCTGCAGTGATGTTCATATCAGCAGTACAGCGCTGGACTTCCTAGTGAAGAAAACAGCAAGATTATAGACACAGGTTAGAAACAAAGGAACACCATATATATTTAAAGGCATAAAGTATTTACTTACTCCCTAGCCACAGCCACCATTACCTCCCCAATCCCAACTTTGGATATAATTATTAATATATTTATAACAAGTTTATGAAGAATGTGAAGGTATAAAGATTTCATTCTTTACTATTTCATCAATCATCTACTTTATTCTCGATTTAGACGTAGTCCCTGGGATGTTAAACAATATCTCTTTTTGAATACATCACAGTCTATGGGTGAGAAAAATATTCAAAAAAATAGTCAACCATGATGAACAGAAAAGAGGTCTGATAAAGCTCTGATGGGAGCACAGAACAGAGGAAGGCTTTAGACAGTTGAAAAAATTTACCTGAGTCTTAAAGAAAGGGAATTTCTAAGAAGTATAATCTCTACCATGATTTGCAATATGCTTAGAGGCCTTACAGCCTCATTTTACCATTGTGAGGGTACATTGACTTTAAAGACTCAGTGCTGAAATAACCCTAATAATACCCCAACTAATGGTTATATCTCATATATACAGTCTTGACAAATTATTTGTGAACTCTAATATTTTAAAAGTTATCCTTCTTTGGAAAAATAGCAGTAGCAGAAATAATGCTGTTATCCTACCTTGGCCGTGGATATAAACATCATCTATTAGCCTAATACAACGTTGCTGAAAAGCCAAATTTTTCTATACTATATGCTTCAAACCCAAGAAAGTACTGGAGCTAATTAATAAAGAAGTCATTAGCAGTGCACAGCTGCTACAAGGAGCCTGAGCAAAGTAACACAACATTATCAGGAGAAATGTTTTACACAGAACAGATGTAGCAGAGTTTAGAAGCATGCAGACTTTTTTTCACAAAGGAGTTGCCTAGCAATTATGGGTGTTTTCCATAGTATTTACATTAAACATAATGAAAACAATGAACTGGGTTGTCTTTTATTTATTTATTTTTTCCCCTAGACGGAGTCTTGCTCTGTCACCCAGGCTGGAGTGCAGTGGCCGGATCTCAGCTCACTGCAAGCTCCGCCTCCCAGGTTTACGCCATTCTCCTGCCTCAGCCTCCCAAGTAGCTGGGACTGCAGGCGCCCGCCACCTCGCCCGGCTAGTTTTTTTTTTGTATTTTTTAGTAGAGACGGGGTTTCACGGGGTTAGCTAGGATGGTCTCAATCTCCTGACCTCGTGATCCGCCTGTCTCGGCCTCCCAAAGTGCTGGGATTACAGGCTTGAGCCACCGCGCCCGGCCTGTCTTTTATTTTCACAAAGTACGGCCTAGGGAGAAGTACACTTTTTCTCTAGAAGGAGGAAGTTACTGTACTCGAAGAATTTAAGGTATAAAAGCAAAGAGTTTCTATCTGTTGAAAGAAACAGTATTCAATGACTTTCCAATTGTTGGACACTGTAAATTGAAGTTTCCATAATTATAGTCCTTCCCAGCTGTCCATTTAAAAAAAAAAAAAAGCCCCACAGGCATTAATTCAATCCACCTTTTGGGGAAAGTGTGTTTCATGACAGTTTTTACCCATTCCCTACTCTTACTAAACTCCAATATTTTCTGTTCTAACACAGTTTATAACCTATGGTTTGGAAAACATTGGTTTAAGGAGCTTTAAGGCCATCCTTTGGCTCTTCCCTAAAATGAGATAATAAAGTGTGATCACAAATCAGTCTACATAAGAAATAAGCAATGCCAGCCAAACTTAGAATATTGGGACCTGCCTTTTGAAACTGCCTTATAAGACCTGAGGCATGCTCTTTTGAAGAGTTTCAAGGGCAGATAACTTTTGAAAATGGATTTGAAACAAGTTATTTATTTAAATTTTTTTTTTTTTTTGAGACGGAGTCTCGCTCTGTCGCCCGGGCTGGAGTGCAGTGGCCGGATCTCAGCTCACTGCAAGCTCCGCCTCCCGGGTTCACGCCATTCTCCTGCCTTAGCCTCCCGCGTAGCTGGGACTACAGGCGCCCGCCACCTCGCCCGACTAGTTTTTTTTGTATTTTTTAGTAGAGACGGGGTTTCACCGTGTTAGCCAGGATGGTCTCGATCTCCTGACCTTGTGATCCGCCCGTCTCGGCCTCCCAAAGTGCTGGGATTACAGGCTTGAGCCACCGCGCCCGGCTGAAACAAGTTATTCTTTTGTTTTCAGGTTTTGAAGGTCACACCTTTGGCATGTACTTCTTCAGGGTTGAGTTGTTCAGCTATCTTATGCTGAGAGATTGTGGCTTTTAGTACCTTAGTCTGAGATTTACTTCGTTTATTGATGTTTTTTTCCTGTTGTATAGATCTGACCACCCTAGCTATGGACTGAAGTTGGAGCCTCTTTTCTAATATAATGCAATTGACCAAGACTGCTTGGGAGCAGCTGTCAGTATTGTTTAAAGCTGTCATTCAATATGGCCAATCAAACTTTTTGTTATCTAAAACCCTTTATCTGATCTGTTGCCTCTATTTCACTTTTCCAATTATATGAATGACAGAAACAAAAAATCGTAATAAATATTGTCAAATCTGATTTTATTAGAACCCATGGGGTTTGCCTGAGGTCTTCTAATTTTGTCATGTAGATAATAATGTGATCTATAATTCCTTGCAGTACTGCCTGGCTCATTTAGATGCTGATAATATCATCTGATCCTGGAGTGGCTTTTCTCCATCAGAACTGCCATTTCAACATTAACATGATTTTAATAGGTGTTAAAAACCCTTTAAAGAGACACTGGCCAATGGAGTAGGCATTGTAAATTTACCTATTCAGAACTCTGATAGTTTAAGCTTGTTTATATTTTATTCTCTATATAACAAAGCTAGAATTCTCAAAAAGAACAGTTTGAATCTTTACAGGCACAGAAGCACAGGAGAAGGCCAACAGAAAACAGGTTTAAAATAAAGCAAAAAATCAAAGACTGAACAAACCCTAAAATTTGATATACCGAGAATTTTAGGGAGGTGACGTAGGCTAAATCACTTCCTACCTAGAGTCATTGATGCAAGAGGCTGTTTAAAGAGCACTTAAAGACCTACTGTCCTACTATACTGTGGCTCAATTCAAAAAAATAATGCAATAAAACATCCAGAAATCTTTCAGATTTCTCAGTTCCAAAAAGGTAGCTGAGAATAAATTATTTGGATCTGGTTACCAAGTATTAGACCAAGTAGGGGTAACATTCTTAGTGCCTGAGTTCGGGCAGCCTACAATTGTGGTAAAGAGACTGTTCTACAGAAGACTCATGGGTTTAGGTCATGGAGTGACCCAGTGCATGTACAGTGTCGGACACAGAACTGGCCTTTGACAGGTGCTGGTTACACTGCAACTTTCAGCCCCTACTCTCTTCTGCTCAGGGTTTAAATTGCTGCCAGACTGATTTTCTTCAAACGCTGTGCTGACTTTATTATTCCCTTCCTCAGAAATGTGTGGAGAGATTCCACATTCCCTTAGCCAGGCTTTCAAGGTCCCATCTTATCTTCCCCTCTCTTCCCAATCCCAGACAATATTAACTCCATACCCTTTGAAAAGACCATTTGATTTCCTGCTCTTTGCTTTATTGCCATTTACCTTGGTAAGAATGCCTGTTCTCTTCCTCTATCCAAATCCATGTATCTTTATCTAAAATGACTGCATTTGCCCCCTAGAAAACTAACCCATCTTTGGAGAGTATAACACAGCATTATTATCCTGTAGCTGGTCTCTAACATAAGAATTATTTTTCATGAAATCTGGCTATCTCCCTTTTATCTCCCTCTTCACCAATATCTTAAACAAGTGTGAGATCTCATAACCGTTTAAAAATGTTTTTCTTAAGATATTTAAGACTCAAATTGGCATTTTTGTCAAAAAGGCTTAGGAAACTAACTCTACAACAAGCTTATCCAACCCATGGCCCACGGGCCACATGCGGCCCAGGATGGCTTTGAAAGCAGCCCAACACAAATTCGTAAACTTTCTTAAAACATTGAGTTTTGTTTGTTGCAATTTTTTTAGCTCATCAGCTGTCATTAGTGTATTTTATGTGTGGCCCAAGACATTTCTTCTTACAATGTGGCCCAGGGAAGCCAAAAGAATGGACAGCCCTGCCTACAGGCTCATTTTCTGACCTCTTGCAGGCAGCAGTCGGTGCAGCATTACACCTCTGACCAGAGACTTCCCTATTATATGTCATCAGCAGCCCTGGACATCTCCCTTCATTACCTAAAGTGATTGTGGCCACTGGTCCCTCAGAGCATGGGCTCAGGTGGACAAAGCTTTGTTCTTTTGATTTAAGATGAACTAGCCTAAATTTAGCACAACTGGTTAACTGTAATAGAGGCAGTCCCCCAAAGGATCTTGTCAAGGGGCTGTGGACCTTTGGCCTCATCCTGCACTCCTTTAGACTTCTGATTCTCCCAGTCCCTGCCTGTTAATTCTTCTGACTCATGGAGCTTTGAAGTGCCTTCCTTTTGAAACAGTATGCTAGCACTGGTCTTTTGGAAGCCTTCTGCATTGTTTGTGGGGGCTGAGGAAGAGTCTGTCAATCTTGTAATACTACTCTGGGAAACAACTCCCTGGGAAGGACAGTGAGGTTAAAGTTAGCTCAGGTAGCCAAGGGAATGGTGTCATCCAACACTATCACAAGAAAAGGACTGACGTTGTTTCTAGTGACTGCAAATACTGTATGATGCCACTTTTCACGGTCTCTAGAATTTATCTGACAAGAACAAAAAGCTGGCTTACATTACAGCAACACTTCTAGACAAAGAGTCAAAATTACCAATGAATTGTTTTTCTCATTCGCCAAGCAGTAAAGTTCTGAAACTATGATAGTTATTCACCAACTTTTTACTTCTGAGATGTTTAAACATGATGGGAGAGAATTTTTGCTGAAATCTCCAATGAAAATACATAGGTGCCTTTCTCCTTTGCACTTCAGAACTTTATGCCTGTACAATAGCACTTATTTTGCTTTGTCCTGTTTCTGTTTTGGTTGTGTACACTCTGGCCTCCCCCAATACCAGATTGAACTCTTTGAGGGCAAGGACTCTAATTCATATTTGTATCTTATATTATGTCCAGAGAATGGCAGATCATCAGTAACTGTTAGATGGGTTGTTTTAGCTCCTCTTAATGTCCAGTTGTTAACTTTTCAATTGTATTTTTCATCATTTTAAGACTAATTTTAGGCCTACATGTTGGATACGATTTTTATAAGTCACACTCTCAGCTATCTTAGAAGGCTTGAGACCATAAAGATCATGTAATGGGGAGCTAATACTCCTAGTTGGGGGGTGGTTCGTAATTTGGCTGCTCTCCCCACCTTTTTGTACTGTTAAGGCACTGTGGCACGATCAGTGCTAGTCACTTGCAAGCTTGCTTATTTCTCCTTCTGACCTTGGCTCATTACAGGACATTACTCTGGCTTTTTGGTGTTTTTTTTTCCTGAGACAGGGTCTTGCTTTGTCACTCAGGCTGGAGTGCAGTGGTGCAGTCATAGCTCACTGCAGCCTCAATATCCTGGGCTCAAATGATCCTCCTGCCTCAGCCTCTGAAGAGCTAGGACAACAGTTGTGTGTCACCACACCTGGCTAATTAAAAAAAATTTTTTTTGTAGAGACGGAGTCTTGCTGTGTTGTCCAGGCTGGTTGGGAACTCCTGGTCTCAAGTGATCCTCCCGCCTTGGTCTCCCAAAGTATTGGGATTACAGATGTGAGCCACTGTGGCCCAGGACACTAATGAGAGTCTGGATGGTGTCAAGGTGAACCATGTGAGTTCAAGTCGGATACCCTGGTCTTAAACCCTGCTGCTGCCATTTCAAAATGTAGCCACCCACAGCCTCAGTTTTCTCATGGGTAGTTTTGTCATCAGTAAAATGGGGACAATAAGATAGCACCTACGTCAGGAAATAGAATGATCCATGCACAGTGCTAACTAGTAAATGCTAGTTATCATTATTCCAGGTAAATGGGTCTGGAAATCTGAGACTAGGATTACCTTAACTCTCTTACCATAATAAAATTTTGTTTTTAATTACACAAAATATTTTTCTATCCTTTCTTATAAAGCCTGTTACTATCTGATTATAAAATAGTCATAATAGCTTCTTATGTAGCCTATTACCAGTTTTCCCTTTTAGCAGTTACCCAAAAGGAATACTACTCTTTTAAAATACTTCAAATTTTCACCTAATTATAAGGTTACAGTAATATTGGTGAGCTTTTTCTATTTTCTTATTCTCCCCTTTACGTTGCTGCATTGCTGTTCTTTTTAGAAGAAAGCATTTTCTTCCTATTCTGAACAGCTCTGATTTTAAACCTTTCAAACCTGAACAGATTGTGAAATGACAACAGTCATTTCACCTTCCTGCCTGCCCTCCCCATTCCACTCCCATAAGTATCAGCTAATACTATTTAAGCTATAAAGTTCAATGTAGGTGATTAAAGCTTTTAGCTGCAGTATATTTTTTAGGACAGAAATAGGGTACAGATGCCCAGGATTTGTTAGGAAGCTTGATTTCGATGCAGCAAAGCCCATTTTAAGTCAGATCAAGTTTACAGAGGTGTAGCTGATTATTTTGAATAATTAAATGGTGTCAAAACCAGCTGTGATGAATAGCACTGGGGTCTCAAATCATAAATAATTGAGAAACTGGAGTTGCATTTGATCATCCTGATCAAATTCGGCTCTCTAGAGGATAAATGTTTGTCCTGAATACCATCAACATTGTTAAATGCCTCAATATTCTTGCTCAGTCATCCAGCCAACAGTCAATTGAACTAAATCACTTTAACACCACACACATTTGCTGTCCTCATGAATACAAAATGTTTGACTTAAACCATGTTCTTTGTAGTTGAATAGGCACTTTTTTAGTAAGTATCTAATGGCATTAAATACTTGACATGCTTTTGTTGGTTCCATAAAACATATGACTTCAGAGAATAAATCAGAGGTTCTTTCTACCACCTTTGTTTTCATTCTGCTCAAAACAACAAAAACTAACAAAAAACTAAGAGAAAGACTTAATTTAAAACAAGTCATCAATAGAATTGCCTTTATGATAGCCTTTTGGGATTCCAAATTTGCATAGACAGTGGCTTTTCATCCTGTTTTTATTTCTCATTGTTCATTCAAGGTAACTGCACCTTCCAGCTGTATGATTCCTAGATGATCTTAAAGTGCTTACCTTCCATTACTTCATTTTGCCCTGCAACCAATTTTGTTGAAAGAGATGGGTAGGTTAGCATCATCATCATTATTTCCATTTTAAAGTAGAAATGAGACAGAGAAAGGAACCGACTTACCCACAAAGCTAGAAGACAGCTGAGCTGCCATGAAAACTTGGCCTCCTCGACACAACTCTTGCTGCCAGAGATGTGCCTTAGTTAAGCGCCTCAGTGAAGAAAAGGGCAGTCTGTTTAATAGCTCCTCATTGACACCCTGTCACTGCTGAACTGGCACGGAACCCAGAGTTGGCAGGGTGGTACATGCCTCTCTCTACCTTGTTTCCTACACACCAGTTCTTAAAATCAGAAGGCTGTGTTAACCCAAGTCTTCTCTCCAAGGATTAATAATCATGAAAACAACAACAGTCAACCTTTGCATGGTTCTTAACAATCAACTCAGCACTTTCAAAGATGTTAATCATTTATTTTCTCCAACGACTTTACAATGTAGGTGACATTGGTGCCATTTTTTAAAAATGGGAAAACTGGGAACCCGAGATGAGGTGATTGGCCCGAGGATTATGAAGCTCACTACTGATGAATCCAGCATCCAGTTTCTCAGACACCAAACCTGCTATCTTCACTACACCATGTGCATTGCAGAAAAGACGCGGAATTAGGGAGCCTTGTATTATGATTGCTGTTCCCAGTTAGAATTAGATGAAGCAAGAACCTGGAAAGCAATCCCTACCAGTTTGCTTTTCTATCACTAAGTTAGTTCTTTTATAGAAGTGCATGTTCAGGACAGGTACAATCAACTCCCCTTTCACCTAAATTTTATTTGGAAAAGAATGCCTATTAAAATTATAGATGACAAGAAAAAACTCCACTTTCCACAGTTATTGTTTTGTTATGCTTGGAATGAATTCAGTTCAAGCTTACAAAAATCTGTGTAAAGTAAGAGTTAAGTTTCTGGAAGTTAACTTCCAGCTATGAAACATACCTCAAAATCCTCGGAGAACCCATGCTGGTTATTAGAATAGAGCTCACCAATGTGTTTGACAAACTGTTTGACAGGAATGGCTTCCATGTCATCTGGGGGAATAAAATAATATTCAAAATTACATAGAATACTTCCATAAAACAAATTACACTGATAAAGCAAAGCATCCTTAAGACAAATAGTTGATTTCTGCAAAGCGCAAAATAATTGTATCACACAAAATAGATGTCCTGAAGAAAAGTCTCAGGATTTATTTCACATTAGGATCTCATTATGACTTCAAATGCCGACAAGCCAGGTTAAATACGGTTTTTTAAAAAAAGGTACATAGAGAATTCCCTTTACTTTTTATATTCAAGGCAATTTACATAGTTAAATTACCACAGCATACTCTTAACCCGAAGTGTGAATTTATCAAGGGTACCCATTTGCCAAGAAATTTTATCACACCAGGGGTTTTCTTTGTTTTTTGTTTGTTTGTGTTTTTTTTAATTGCTTTTCAATGGGGTCCAGCTTGAACTTTGAGCGATTAAGTTCTATTTCCAATCTTTTAACTTTTAAGCAATCATTTATACACAATTATAGATAGATGCCATTGTACCAGCTGGCTCTGGGTACAATGCCATCTATCTTTAAGTGTTCAAAATTTTAGCTCAAGACAGCTGTGTCTACATGATGCCAAATAATCAGTTTGACTGAATTAACTGAATTTTTTTGGTGTTGACAGACTAGGTATAGATTCAGGAAGACTCCACATTCCCATTTATTTCGTGTTGTCACTTCAAAAGGAGACTTTCAGTTCATAAACCCAAAGTATGTTTTAAGCTTATTTATCATGATACTTGAGTACTGCTATAAAATAGCCACACCCAGCTAACCGGAGCTCCCCAACCTCCTTCTTCCCTTCTCCCTCGACCCTCCCCCACAAATATTTCCTTTTAAAAATACTCTGCTGAATTTGAGATAAACAACAGACATGACATTTACTTTATTCAGAGTGAAAGATCTTTGGCAAACGCACAAACATCTAAACTGCCACAGATGCTTTTCTTAGCAAAGGGTATGAAGATCTGTATGTGTAAATGAGGTCCTACTTTGGCAAGAATTTTATAGATCCAGGCCTGACAATCTGATTTCTCTTCATCTGGTGACAGTTAACATTGACTATGTCATTCCTTCTCTTCTTTCTTTCGAGAGAGCAAAGCTCTAGGGTGGCTTTTTGCATCTATTGACATTTTCAAACTTGAATCATTCTTAAGCGGAAAATAGCATCTCTTATACTTTGTTTTAGGAAGGTGACTTATATGTTCGTAATCCAAGTTGCTTAGCATAGAAATGTTACTTATCAAATAGGTGGTGCTCTGTAAGTACAAATACTTTCTGTGTGAACAATTAAAGTCCTAATCGTGTTCATAGGCAACCTTATGAAAAAAATTGCCAAGTTATTTACAAATATTTCAGAATTGAAGATGTTCATGAATATGCAATCATTTTGCATGCCCAACAAATCTATAGCTCTCATGATGTAACCAGCATTAACAGAGTAAGCGGAGCCAAAATGTTTCTCCAGAATATTTAGCAGAATGCACAGTTCAAGAAAAATTTCCAAAATTATCTGATCACTTCACTTAAAATGTTTAGAAGTAAGCAAATTCTACAATAATGATCAGTGGCAATGAAAATGATCTCAAGTTGACAAAAGGGTTACTATGTACAAAGCTGGAGAGTCTCTAAATGATTAGACCAAGAATAAACTCATTTTCAAATAAGAGGCAAAATGGGTGAGATGGGACACAACCTAACCACAGAATCACTCTAGTATATAGACTATAGGACTTTCATTTACTTAGAAATGACAGATACAACACTGTTTTCAAGGGCAGAGTGACATATTTAGTAGAGTAATAGGTTGAAGGCAACATTTATACGATAATGATAGTTTAGAATTTTAGATGCCCAAGAACTTATAGTGCTGTGATTAAGAACACGGACTCTAGTTCAAAATAAGAAAAAATGTCAGCTTTATAACTGTTTTACTCTGGAAGGTAAAAACCACAGCATTTTAAAGGCGTAGCCCACCTCACATCAGTAAAAGAAATGCTTTCAGGTTAACTGCTTATTGTTTTTTCCTGCAAAGTGCTCAACTGTAATATCCAAGCTAATGTCACACACACACGGCCAGAAATCAGTATGCCTGCTGCCACTGTGGCTAGAAGCAGCAAAAATCCAGCAGAGCTCAGTATGATAATCATGGAAATATATGACTCACTAGTCTCTCCAATTTGCATCTTTATCCAAGGATGCCTAACCACACCCTCTGGGTTTCCAGGCACCACCAGTAATGTCACAAAAGTACCAGACAGGCGGATATACATACAGATGCATGCCATACTGACCACTGTCAGCTACCCAGATAATACAGCATTTGCCCTGCAATCAAGATAAATAGCTGAGGAGTCATAAATCTCTGTTCTTTATATTGAGATGAATATAAGGCTATGACTAATTATTCTAATCATTCTCCTGTCATAATTTTTCTATTACATTCTCTCAACATGAGCCAGATGATTATAAAATCAATGTAACTAGCAGAAGGCCAAGCAATTAGGACAGCATCAGAGGCCTAATCTGCTCAATTTTTATCTGGAAAGGCCCTGTGTGTTTTAAGAAGACATTCATCCAAAACATGTTATCTCCACCTAAATGTCTTGAGTTTCATTAAAGATTGCAGAGAATATTAGCAGCACTAACTAGGTCAGGCACTTTCTGTGTACTTTATATGTATTAACATGTACGCCAAGAAATGGGTACTCTCTTCATATGCATCTTGCACTTGAAAAAAGTTTAGAATGGCAGAAGCTGGCTGTAGACCCTAGACAAAACTGCTCTGGCTCAGAGAATGGGAAATCCCTGGATGAAGCCGTTTCTGAGCACCTAGTACTCAGCCAGATATTAGAGAGATGGTTTCTGCTCAAGGACATTTGTGCTGGTGAAGAGATGAACACAAGGGAGCGCAAGAACAGTGTAATTATGTGGTAAAGACTACAAGTGCCATTAAAAGGATGGGTTTGATGACTTCAGTGAGAATGCATGTCACTAATGTAGTGGTAGAGGTGGGAGAAGCATAAAGGAAAAAAGGGGCTGGAATCAAAGTGAAGATGTTTTCAGTGACTAAAGATTAAATGGGAGATTATTATGGTATAATAAAAGCAGGATAATGATAAAGTTGGTAGAATGACAGGAAAACCACTATTTATTAAGCCCTTACTGGTTACCAGGGACTGTGCTAAATGTTTTTCACACATTTATCTCTATAAGAACCAGATGAAGGGAACGTGATTATTCTCACAGTACACATAAGGAAACCGAGGCAACTTGTCCAAAGACTCAGTTAAGTGGCAGAGCTGAGATTTGAACCCAGGTCCACTGAACCCAAAGACTGTATTCCTGTGTACTGTAATATACTGTTTGTCTTCATTCTCAAAGCACTACAAGTTCAAGGAATAACAAGAAATTAAACTTTTTAATTCTTAGTATCTTGGTTAATCTGGTAAATATCACTTGATAATTTTGTGTTAATTTTTTTTTTTTTTTTTTTTTTTTGTGTAGACATGGTCTCACTCTGTCACCCAGGCTGGCTGGAGTGCAGTTGCTCAATTGTAGCTCACTGCAGCCTCAAACTCCTGAGCTCAAGTAATCCTCTCACCCTAGCCTCCTAAGTAGCTAGGTATAGTTCCATCCCACCATGCCTGGCTAATTTAAAGAGATGGATTCTTGCTGTGTTGTCCAGGCTGGTCTTGAACTCCTAGCCTCAAGCAATCCTTCCACCTCAGCCTCCTGAGTAGCTAAGACTACAGGCCCATGCCACCACACCTGGCTTATATTTTTTGTAGAGATGAGGTCTCGCTATGTTCCCCAGGCTAGTCTCAAACTCTTGGGCTCAAGTGATCCTTCTGCCTCTGCCTCCCAAAGCACTGAGATTATAGGCATGAGCCACTGTACTCAGCTGCTATTTGTACTTACAAAATTTTAAGATACCAAAGGTTTAAACTAGGCAAAAGTGGGACCACTACCATTATCACTAAATCACCCAATTATAAAATGACTGACATAGAGAATCAGTACCTGAAGAGGTGGGCTTATTGTTATTAAATATTATTTACCCTTAAGTTCCCAGATTTTAGCTTTTGGTGGTTAGAATTAAATTATGTACATAACTGGTCTTTTATTTTGTTAAATTCACAACAAAACCTTCTTATGTACTTTTGATGAAGCTTGAAATTAGGTCTGTAGGTACCAAAAGCAGAGCCTCAGAAGAGAGTGAACTGATGACGGCAACTTCTACTGAGAAGAAAACACGAAAGCTGAGATAACGCTGACCTCAAATGCAGCACTGTAGGCAATAAAGAACAATGCATTCGAACATAAAGCTGTTTTCAAAATCTACAGTTATGTATCTGCTGTACTTGCATCTATCTTCAGAACTATTAGAGGGAAATCACCAATACTTTATGCCTCTAACCTACTCATATATGCTAAATTTGCTTTCTCTTAATCTTAAGGAATAACAGATCAATAAAAAGAGAAACAGTTAGCTTTCTTGCCCATAGTTTTTAAATTTGATATTAGAAAGGAAAAAGCAGCAGCCAAAGCTGTCCCTGAACATACACCATAGGGAGGAGCCGCACAGAGGGCCCAGCCTGAGTACACTGCACCTGGTAAGACCATTAGCATGTAACTCAGTAAAACTGAGTATCTGTGATTCTTATCAGCCACCAGTGATGGGATGCTTCCTGTCAATCAGGAAACCAGAGGCAATGGTATGAGTGGAAAACCCAGAGCCAGACTGCAAGACTCCACTTCTCTGATTCCCTTTCCTCATCTGTAAAATGGGAATAACAGTACTTAATTCATAGATTATTATGAAAAGTAAACAAGGCTGGGCGCGGTGGCTCAAGCCTGTAATCCCAGCACTTTGGGAGGCCGAGGCGGGTGGATCACGAGGTCAGGAGATCGAGACCATCCTGGCTAACATGGTGAAACCCCGTCTCTACTAAAAATACAAAAAAAAAAACTAGCCGGGCGTGGTGGC